TTTGTTTTTCAATATCAAACAATAATAATAATAATAAGAATGTTTTTCTCAACGCTGCTCATGACGTCACTAAAATATTTGCGATTTTCTTGTTGATTAAATAACATACTCGTAAACACACACACACATACATTCGGCCGTACCGCCTGGGCGCGGGCTCGTCTCAACCACTTCTTCACAACCTTCTCTTTACTCCTCTGCTCTACATCATATTACTTGTATATCCTTTTCTTTTCTTTTCTTTCAATAAACGAATTAAAAAAAAAAAAAAAAAAAAACACACACACATACATATATACATACTATATACCTACATACATACATGTGACAAGTTAACGGCTCGCCAGCCCCAATAGGAGGAACAACAACAACAACAACAGCAGCAGCAAAGAGTGCCAACTAATTAACTGAGTGGTGTGAAGTGGTGTGGTGCCCATCAGTTGTGAGTTCCGAGCCCCGAGCTCTGAGTTCTGAGTGTGTTATGTTCTGAGGAGCGTTGATAAACACTGACTGACCAAATGGCAGACTAACTGCACGAGTGTATAACTGATTGAATGATTGACTGACTGAATAAATGATTGACGAATGAATGACTGACAAAATGATTGAACGACTGACTGAACGAGGGAAGGGCTGACTAAATGATTAAATGAGTAAATGATTAATTGATTAAGTAAACTAATTGACTGCCTAGTAAAACTAATTGACCGACTAAATGATTGACTGTCGAAATTAATGATTAACTTAATAAGTAATAACTATTTAAAAAATGAATGATTGACCAAATGATTGACTGACTGATGATTGAAAATGAATGATTGAGTAAATATTTGAATGAAATTAATGATTAAATTAATAACTATTTAAAAAAATGAATGATTGACTGACTGAATAAATGACTGACTGATGATTGAAAATGATTGATTGACTATTCTCAATTGACTGTCAAAATTAATGATTAACATAATGAATAAATGACAATTTAAAAAAATGAATGATTGACTGATGATTGAATGATGATGAATGACTGAAAAAATGATTGAACGACTGACTGAATGAGTGAAGGGCCGACTAAATGATTGAATGAACAAATGATTGACTTAAATGACTTAAGATAATAATTAACTTAATAAATGAATGATTGACTGACGCTCGACTTAAATAAATGAATGACTGGCTTAATGAAGGAATGGTTGACTAAATAATTGATTGACTAAATAATTGATTGACCAAATGATTGAATGAACAAATGACTGATTGACCAAATGATCGATAGACTAACGAAATTATTGACTGACTAAACTGATTGACTGCCCAAAAACGGATAAACTAAGTGATTGACTGTCTAAATGAATGATTTACTTAATGAATGAATGACTATTGAAATAAATGAATGATTGACTGACTATTGAAATAAATGAATGATTGACTGACTAACTAGAACAAGCAACCAAGCACCGACATTGTCTCGCATTTGACGACAAAAGACTCCAACAGTCACACATACACACACCTCACACTTAGACGCATGTAGTGCTTATGTGTGTGTGTGTGTGCGTGGCATGCGGCTGTTGAAACGCTCGTTCGACCGATAAGCAGACGACGCTGTCAATTCGTCGAGGCCCAAAGTGACAATATGAGTGTGCATGTGTGTGTGTGTCCGTGTGTGTGCGTGCGGAGTGTAAAAGCGGGTGGGGGTGTGCGTGCGTGAGTGTGTGTGTGTGTGTGTGTGTGTGTAAATGGCATGGGCAGCTCTTATCTCTGTTTTCGTTTTGCGCACGTTTTTTTTCGATGGTCCGTGGCCATGCGACGGTTTGGCGAAATATGCCAACAACAACAATGTCTACGACGACGGACTGTCTTTGTGTGTATGAGTAAGTGAGTGAGTGTGTGTGTGTGTGCGTGTATGTGTGTGTGTGTTTGCATTGCGGGACAATGCCACACGCGCACACAGTTCAAGTGGAAATTGGGGCATACTATGACGCGACCGACCGCGTGTGCCATATACGCCCCATAAACGCGCTACCCTCTCCCTCGGAGCGAACGTCCTCCTCTGCCTGCTCCGCCTGCTCAGCTGCTCCCCAGCCACCCACCTCCTCCTCTCTGCTGGACAATAACAGCACAAGAGAGGCGTGCGCGAACTCATCGTGCGGTTTCTTTCTTCTTTTTTTTGTTGTTTGCTTGTTAGCTTCTCTCTTTTTTTAAGGTTTCGAGTTCAAGGCTGTCTTTAAATTTCCCTTTTCGTTTATTCAATATTTATGTGCTTATTGTTTATATGTTTGCACTTATCATCGTCGTCTTGTTTTGATTGCTATTTTTAATAGCCTTTTTTTTTTTTTTTTGTTTGCTTACACCACCCTCTGATGAAGGCCGGCCCGTCTCGTGTGCATTCCACTCACATAAAGTAGAACAACAATAATTACCTAAAATATATGTATTCTGCGGATCAGCTTGAAAGATAGATATGCATATGTACAATAATTTTTAATACTTGTAATATTTAGTTAAAAACAACCTATTAACATCAAGAGCTCAGTCAATTGTTCTGCCTCTCTGCCTGTTTGTTATTTTGTTTGTTTGCATGTTTGAACGCCTCGATTTCGATTACTGTTAGAGTTAAAGGCACCAAATGTTGCCTGTGGAATCCTCAGCTTAAGCTGTTGCATGGAACATATATGAAAAGAAAGCAAACGTCTTCACAAAGTTTTTACATGTCAGTTGACTAAGTAGCCCGCTTATAACAGCAGAGCAGGCAACTTTAAATGTATGTACATACACACTGCTTCACTTTTTTCTGGAACCCACCCCCCCTTGCATTTGCTTTGAATGTCTATAAAGGGCTATTCTGTTTGTCTGACTCTGTGTAATCTCATTTGTTTTTGTCAGATTGTTTGCATGTATGAACGCCTTAATTTTGGCGAACGTTAGAGCTAGAGGCATCAAGTGTTGCACGGGACAGTCTATAACAACAATGGCCTAGATATGCTGGTTTTAGGTATATTCTACAGTTGGGTGAGATCGCTGCGTGCAACAACAACAACAAGTAGCAGCAGCAAAGCTACTAACATACTTTTATTTTACTTGTAATATTTCTCTTTACTGCCACCGCCACCAAGTCGGTGGCAAACACGCCTGCCTGTTGGCTTTTGGCCCCCCTCGTCCCGCTCTATTCCAAGCAATCAAGCATATGTATGTATGCTTTCTGGTTTTTGTTTTTATAAGCTGCGCGATTTTTATATACATACACACATATATATTTTATTTTTTTTGCTGTCTTTGGCATTTCGCTTTGTTTTCTACCGATTCCACCATACTTTCGCTTTTTTTCTTTTTCAATTTTGTTTCATGTGGCAGCTGTGCTGTGCTGTGTGGCTGCTGGCTGCCTGTCTGCTGCCCCTTCGACTGTTGCTGTTGTTACTGTTACTTTAATAGCCAACATTGACATGCTTAGCTGCGCATTTTAATGCGTTTGTCGTCGTCGTAGCCGCCGTCCCCGTCCCCGTCGCCGTCTCGCTGTCATTGCCGTCATTTTTTCTACCTTATTTCACATTTCTATTTCAAATGCTTGGCACATTGGCTAGCTGGCTTGGCTGTTGCTATGGCCAAGAGGGGCTTGGAGTGCAGAGCGGCGAAGGGTGGTGGTGGGGAGGGATGAAGCGCTTCTAGCTGCTGCTAGTGTTGGCGCTAGGGCCGGTGCTGGGGAGGCAACTTTTATTGAAAGAGAAATTAGATGAAATTGACTTTGTTGCCGCCTATATAGTATTCGTTGTAGTTGTTGCTATTATTTAGGTATCTTGTAGTGCACAGTTGGCCCAGCTAATTAACACCCCGTCGTCGTCATCATTGCCGACGTCATCGTCGCCATTGTCTTTTCTTATCTAAACAGCCACTAAACCTTGATAGATTCTTGTTTCTTGTTTTCGACAAACATTAAACGGCAAGGTAATTGCTTGGGTACGAAAGGAAATACATACAGACAGACATACATATGGCCGTCATCCAAAATGTGGGACAAAACAGTGCAGGAATTTGCGACATAACGCATACTTGTACTTATCGATAAACTGTAGAATGTAGCGGCACGTACTTAAGTCATTATTAAAATAACCACAAACATGTTTTGATTCCACATTGATTTGAATTGCTCAAATCTATCGACAAATATTTGAGGTCTTCTAATGCGTTTTTTGGTTAGAAACACAACCTAAGAAATGTATGCTTTCTAATTTCCATAATTCCAAACATATTTCAATACATTTATCGTTGATATCGTATGCTAACTATCTATGTAAGCATTTATTGATGAAGGATTAAATAAATCCATCCTCCTCGATTGCATAAATGCCCAACATCCTGTGATATCGATATTCATTAAAATATGTCAAAAATTTTGGAATGTATGTTTCCTATTTATAAGGTGATACTGCGATAAACGTGTAGATAAATGCAACCTCCTCGATTGCATAAATGCCCAACATCCTGTGATATCGATATTCATTAAAATATGTCAAAAATTTTGGAATGTATGTTTCCTATTTATAAGGTGATACTGCGATAAACGTGTAGATAAATGCAACCTCCTCGATTGCATAAATGCCCAACATTCTGTGATATCGATATTCATTAAAATATGTAAAATAAGCTAAACTGTGTGTTTCCTTTTTATTAGAAGATTTTGAGATAAAGTAACAAAACTATGCATTTCTATAGCGATACATATATCGATTTATCGGAATGTCCTTCAATGAACCTATTCCCTTTTATCTTTTCATCGATAAGCTTGCTGTAAGATCTATAAGATTTATCGATGCGACGTTCTCCGACTTATCGATATGTTTTCGTTGCGTTAACTGATGACATACCAGCAGAAAATGTTGCATAGCTACACATATCGATTGTCACAGCTATCGATATATATGTATTTGAAAATGATTATATTTGTGCAGCAATTGTGCAACACACTCATTAACATTTCGCTTGGCTTTCTACTCTTGTTGCAGAACCGATAACACCGGCACTGAACTGGCCCGTGAGAACATCTTTCAACACAATCTGGACGATGCCAAGCCCGCGAACAAAGCAACCTATGGTGATGGCAGCGGCAATGCCAATCCGAATTCCGCCACCTCTGCCAATGCCGCCACACGCACCATTTGCTCCATCGAGAATCAACCGCAGCTCGTCATTGGTATGACGCGTCATGCCAACAACAACAACAACAGCAGCAACAATATTAATAATATTAACAACCACTCGCCCGCCGCCACCGCCAACAACAACAACGCCAGCACAGCCAATGGACCGAACAATGCCGTCGTCGCCCCCGTCGCCCCACGCAAGCGTCATCTCTCGAGCAGCAATCTGGTCAACGATCTGGAAATACTCGATCGGGAACTGAGCGCCATCAACGCGCCGATGCCACTGATCGATCCGGAGATAACGCAGGGCGCCGAACAGCTGGAGGCGGCTCTCTCATCCCGCAAGCGACTGCGCAGCAATAGCGAGGATGAGAGCGATCGCTTGGTGCGAGAGGCGCTCTCCCAGTACTACATACCGCCGCAGCGCTTCATTTCGGCCATCGAGGACTGTCCCCTCGATGTGGTCGGCCTGGGAGTGGGTATGGGCATGGGTGTTGGCGTTGGCGTTGGATTGGGTGTGGGTGTGTGTGCGGGCGCTGGCGCCGGTTCCGTTATCAGCAGCAGCAACAACAACAACAGCGGCGGCGGCTGCAACGATCACGGCCCGAATGGCAAGCGAGCCAAACTGGGCGGCAGCAGCGATCATCTGGAGCTGGTCGACTTCGATATGAATCAGAATCAAAAGGACTTTGAGGTCATTATGGATGCACTGCGTCTGGGTACGCCCAGTCCGACAAGTGCCAGCGATTCGTGCGGCCAAGCGGCAATGATGAGCGAATCGGCGAGCGTTTTCCACAACCTTGTCGTCACATCGTTGGAAACATGAAAGTATCAATAGGCCCATCCGCATCCGCATCCGCATGGGAACTATTCTACTAATCTATCTACACAAAGAGCAGGCATACATATAGTAGTAATGGTAGTACATACATAGGAAATATTATACCTACATACATACATACATCATACATACATATACATACATACTATATCTAGAATCTAGTGAATTAAGTTGAAGCCAGCAATGTCGCTCCAAATCGTCGGAGATGGTACTTTTTTTTTTAAGAAATGCTTTTGCCAAAAACTGTCCTCTCGACCGACATTGGAGACGTTTGTACAAAAAAAAAAACAAACAAAAAAATCACTATTTTTTGCAATTAGCAACATAAGGCGGAACAACAGCAACAGCAGTAAGAGCAACAAAAAGAAAAAATACAACAAAAATCAAAGAATTTGTAGTCAAAAAAAAAGTATGAGACAAAAGAGGAGCAAACAAACTTTCTAAAGGAGTTATAGAAGGAGAGGAAGAAGAAGAAGCAAACAGATGATAACACTAACTATGCCTATGCAATATTACTATCCAAAACTATGCAGGACACACACTATGTACATATATATACATATAAAATACCTATGTAAGTAATGTGTCTGAGAAAGTTTTTTATTTTAGTTATTTTTTTTTTTTTGAAATCCCATTTATTTCGCCTTTCTGAATATGTCTCTGGCCGTGGGCTAGTTGGCAAACACACCTCCCTCCCTCCCGTACACAGAACCGTGATAAAAACTAAATAAATTGCAAATATACTCGCATACATACGATTTATATTCCAAGCTAGCTTTCCCCCAAAAATTGAAAGAGAGAACCGAACTTAATCTCAATTTTTAGTTTTATTTTTTTATTACAGTATTGAATTGAAGTCTCGAGAAAGCATGAGCTTAAGTTAAATAGAAAATTTGTTTCGATCAATTTAATCAGCAAGGGAAAATCGAACTTAATTGCAATTTCTCCTCTATGAGGGAGGCAAGACTCTTTTATACAAGGTTATATATATGAAGACACGTCTTAAGTTAAATTAATGATTGCTTTCGATAAATATAATCGGAAAATCGAATTTCATTTCGAAAATTAATGTGCGTGATAATTTTATTTTATTTATTTAGCGAAATGAATTTTGAGAAAATATTGAGCCAAATCGATTCCGATAAATTGATTCGAAATCGGAATATCAAATTTAATTTCAATGCCCCAGTTGCCAAAATTTAAAAATAACAAAAGATGAAGCAAATTCAACTTTTTTTATTTAGAAATTTTTTAAAATTTTTTTTATTAGACTGAAGCACTTGTTTAGAAAACGCTAGTTTGGTGTATTATGAGAAATATTTGTAATCGATCGCACACGCATGCATTCCAATTGGCATATTCCCCAAACATCCAATATCCAATCAAAAAGAGTTTCCAAGTTGCGCGGCAAAACATCTTGAAAGTTTCACGCCCGCTCCACTCTGTTATTTTTTTTTTATTTATTTTTTTATTTTTTATTTTAACAATTTATTATTTTTTTCAATAGTTCCTGCTGTTTCAGCAACAGTCTGTTTTTTATTTTTCGAATTTGTAATTAAAATTGTTAGTATTTAGAGATTTTGCAGCGTTCAATTAAATAATTAGATTTTAGTATTTACACAAAAACAAAAAGTAAACAAAGCAATGAGAAAGAAGAAGGAGGAGCAGGAGGAGGAGAAAAGAGCCTTCAGCATCGTTCTCCTAGTCACAATTTAGAAACGAAGGAGTAGGCAGGAGGGAACACACTTGGGCCGATTTTTTTTTTATTTTGAATTATTCTTAAAGAGAAGAATGATGAAGTAGAAGAAGAAATTAAAAAAAGAAAGAATAGAAAAAGGTTTCATTTATGTAAGTTAGGAGCAGCTTCTCCTCATAACGCATTTAGTTGCCGTTAGTTTCCGCGCTTTCCGTTTTCGTATGTTCGTATTCGTTGCACAAAGTCATAAAAAATAGGAAATAGCAAAAAAGAAAAAAAAAATACAAATCAAATAAAAACGTAAACTGAAGCAAAACATGGAATATACTAAATAGCAATTTAAATATATATACATACATACTTACTATATACATAGTACATATACATACATAAAAAATATATATACAAAAGTGCAATTAGAATTTTTTAAAATATGGAAAAAGCCTCACGAAAAACAAAACTAACAAAAGTGCATTCAAAAATTGAAAAGGAATTTAGCATGTAGAGAAAAATAAATAATAAATACATAGAAATTTGGCAAATTGAAGAATTTGAACAGAAAAAAAGAAAAAATTGTAAAAGCAAATTGAAACTGTATTGTATTTTTTTTTTTTCATTGAAAATCAAAGGCTGTGATAGAAATTTAAGTTTGGCTAAAAAAAAGTTATCATACAAAAAACAAAACAACAGAAACATAAGAGAAAAGGAAAGCAAAACTTACAACAAAACTAATGTACATATAGTATACATACATATATGCATTATGATCTATATACATACATACGTATATGAGAATTTAATATTAGTGTTAATTCATAAAACATGGTAAAAAAAAAAAAAAAAAAAAAAAAAAAAAAAAAAATGAAATCGAAAGCAAATCAAAGCTAAAGCATTAAACACACAAACAGACGCTCTCAGCAGCTCTCCCTCTCCCGATCTCTCGAGCAACAAAGAGCGAGACGATGACAGGTGGGAGAGCGGGAAGAGCGGGCAGACCAGAGCAGAGCGCCAGCTCTAGCCCAAAAGTTGTGTGCAACTTTCGCTCGCGTCTTTTCTTTCTTTTTCTTTTCGCATATTCGCATTTAGTCAGCCTCCGTGGTGAGCTTTCCATTTTGTTTTGTTTCGCTTCGTTTTGTTTTCGTTTTCAGTTGCAGCGCCCAAAACGTCTTCAAAATAAAAATTAAAAAAAAAAAAAACGAAAAACTTGAAAAAAAAAGTTTAACACATGCATACTTAGCTGTATGTGTGTGTATTGCAATTATGTCTAACTATGCAACTATTTTGATTATTAATTACTACTATTATGTATTAATTGAATGCCTATGCTAATGTTTATTCATTTCGTTGAATCAGTGGCTGTCCCAAAGATTGTATCGCGTTCTGTACAGCCCATACAAACAAACAAACAAACATACCTACATATAGGCATAGTTCTATAACGTTGATTAAGTTGATTATGATTTGATGAATGCTTAGCTATATACAAACATACATATATTCTAAAAAGAAAAAAACAACAAAACGAAAAAAACACGTAACACTTAAGCAATTGTATGCTGTTAATAATTTGTTTCTTTTTTAAACGTTTATTACCTTTTTTTTGCCTCCTTTTGTTGTATTAGAAGAATTTTAGGCGTACGCTTCTAGTTTATGGCAATTATTTCCATTTTAGTTAATAATCATGCTTCGATCGAACGAATTGCAATTCGGTTCCAAAACTACAAAATAAATTATAAAAAAAATAATATAAAAATGGATAAATATTTGGTTTTTTAATTTCAATTACTTATAAGAGTATGGTTTTATCATTTCTACAGCTTTTCATTTATACTCGTAGTCTCTCTATTCTATGTCTATGAAATGGCGATTTAAATCGATTCAACAATCGCTCCCACGATAGCCAACTATTGGAGGACTTTGGTCGAGCTCAGAGATTTTGATAAACGAGCCTTCGTCTGCTTAGCCAGTAAGTAGTGGAGCCTACGTATTAGAATTTCCATGGCAATGGACAAAAGGCTGCTTCAAGTGTATACTTAGCTAGAGCCATAGGGAAGCTACTTTTATAATATTTTCTGATGGCTAGACTGCCATAAATGCTATCTTCTACCGAAGATTGTCATCAGTGTACCACTCCCACGGAATTCCTGGAAATAACGCTGATCAGGCGACACGAGAAGGCTCGTCAATCCCTCCGAACGAACCAGAATGGGGCAAGAAGAAGACATAAAACCTATAAGAAAGATATCCTTACATCCTTGTAGAAGTTGTATTTAGAACGACTACTAATATAAAAAAACTGGTAGAAAGCTAGCACAACTGACCTATATTTTCAGAGACTTTGTCTTAACCTGTGCTAATTAGTTTAAGTTCTCAATTTCCATATTAATTATTAATAAACTACAAGAAAGATCTCCTTAGAAATCTCCTCGTGGTTCTTATGCTTCGATTTTCGGGTCAATTCCTTTTTGAAGTTATTAATAAATGTGATCTTTTTCCACGTCTGGATTCCAAACTAATGTTTCCATTAGAAGGGAAAAATCTACGTACATTCTCGTAGTGCTCTCTTTTTCTCATAACTCTTACAATTCCTACTTTAAACTTTGAGCTTTCGGAACCTTAAACTCATTCTAATCATTTCAAGAACTGAATAGATCTGGAAATCTAAAACCTATTTGAATATTTAAAGTTCTCAATTTTGAGTGAACTTTCAAAGTATACCAAAGGCCTTATATGCCCACGTAGTAGCACTGATGGCATCAACAGTTTTCGACGAAAGTGTCCAAATGTGTTTTTCCTTGAAATTGCCATTGCCATTGAATTCATTAACGGCTGTCTATGCCTTTCGATCAGACACAGAGACACACACACACACACACACACACATGTGCACATATAAATTATATGTGTTCCTATAATATATGTAAAATAAATATAAAAAAAGCCACACATTGCAAACAAATTAAGCAAATTTCGCTGAGCTGAGCCAAGCCGTGCTTTTGACCTGTCTCAGGGTTATACAATTTTTGGGGGTCAGCAACAGCAATAGCACCAGCAGCACCAGCACCAAAAAAAAAAAACATTGTATTTAATATACCTGCTATGAACGAAATCGAGAAACAAAAACGTGCCACACACAACACACACCACACACTCAGAGATGTTTTCGCATCAAAATAAAATAATAACAATAACGAAATTGTTCCGTTGACTGACTGCATGACGCTATTTTGAATGCCAAATTTGTTCGACTTGGGTTAACGCTCTAGCGTGGTGGATTTTGGTTGTTGCTTGTTGGCTGGCTGTTGGTTTTGGTCGCGGCTGTGGCTGTGGCTGCGGCTTCGGCTTTGGTTGGCCAACATCATTTATTAAGTGCTGTTGACTGCTGTTCAATAATAATTGAGGTTAGACCTTTTCAAAACAAAAGCAGGTTATTGCACATTTTTATCTTATTTCTATTTTATTGGCATTGCCCTCAATCCGACGAGAACATGCTCGGCGTAGATGGACAGGAGCTGGCTGCAGGCTGCGTTTGTTTATTCGACTGTATGAACTGCGATAGCTTTTGCGCTATGGCAGCTGGAGACACAAAACTTGTCAAGCACACTTGTCCCATTCAAATGCAGGTCAAGATTATTGCTAAGCAGTTATTGCCCAATTTTTGTATATAGCTGTCATAGGAACGATTGGTGCAAAAATCACTCTTAGAAGCAAAAACTAGTTGGTTTCTTCAGGATATCTTCACCAAATTAGTTATTAGTCTGAAGTCTTATAAACAGCGATCAACCACACATCATATAGCCCTACTATGTTCCTGAGCTCATTGTGTCTTCAGAGCTTTATTTTAAAGCATTTACGTGTACGGTGTATAGTGTAGGAAACCGCTACTATTTTAAATCTGATTTGAAAATATCTATATTTGTGTCTGTCTGGAAACACCCCATTGGCGAAATTATAACCAGCAATTAAAACTTTTCCGATTGCCCTTGTTCATTAATTAGCCGTTTTGAGCTCAGATTAGAATGTTTTCATAAAACGATTTGAAATAATTCCGTTAAGATATTAAAATATGGAATCTTTCAACACCCCAATGGTTTAGCTATCGAGGGACATCTGCTATGGGAGATTATCTCAAGATAATGAAAAATATTGGGACATTGTAGGCTTTTAAAATCGATTTGAATACTTCCGTTAGGAAATGTGAAGAAAGAAAAAATCTGTTAACAGCTCAATTCTTTATTTATTGACTATGAGAAAAACAACTAAGAACAAAGATTAGAATAGAATTTTGGAAAATCGAAAGCCATAAAAGGTTCGAATTCGTTCTGAAGGTGTATCTTCATTAAGAATATAAAACTGCCTAAATAGTTTAATATTTTATGTTCTTATTGGTTTATTAAACGATTACCTTTTTTTTGATCACGGTTTCAGAAAATAGTTTCAACTCGTTTCGTTTGACTTTTTAACTTTGCCTTCAAAGCTTCATTTCGGTTTTCAAGGCATTTGTTTTCGTTAACATTTTCATTTGCATATCACAAGTAATACCTCCTAATCTATGGACCAGTTTAATGAATTTTCTCTGCAAAGATCTATTTGAGTTCTAAACTAAACAACCAAATAAATGTAGAAAACAAAAAAAGAGACAAAACTTAGCTGTGGGCACAAGGTCTACTATCTAGTAACTACATATACATATATAAGTATGTATATACAAATATTGAAAGACCAGATGAATACAAAGATGAAGAAGCAAGCGTAAATGTTTGTTCATCTCTTTGTTTTCTGTTTGTTTTCTTAGAACTTAGTAGCTGGGAGGAGTAATGGAAGATTTAACTACAGACAAGTATATAATCGTAGTTATACAAGGTAGATACCATAAATGCGCATACCTAAGAGAGTTAAGGATACATAAGTGCTTTTTACTGAAAAATATAGACCGCAAAGAGGATAATGAATAAAATAGTAACTAATATTTGTAAAATAGATCAAGAAAATGAATAAATGCAGCAAATGAATAAAAAAAGACAAACATATGAACTATATATACATACAACATACGAAACATATATACAACATACATATATATAAATATATATATATATATATTATACACATAATTGTACGTATTATTATTATTATTATTATTATGAGTTGCTTTTAGTGTGATAAAAAAATATTAAAGAAGAATCCAAACAAAACAAATAAGAGAAATTTGCAATAAATTGTAAGAGAATAAAAGAAAACCTGTTATTTTATTTGAAGGATACCCATAAAATTCATAGATAGTTCTGCACTCTTTGGGATCTTAATCGTTGCACAAACGATTAAAATATTAACAGATGTCTCAAGCTCTTAGCAGCTAGAAGTTGTTGACTGATTGGAGATGAGCTGCTGAAGATGAATTTAAATTTCAGAAACTAAGCTAGATTTCTCTTTAAAAGCTTGCAGTTCTCTCTCTTTCTCTTAAATAAGTAAGTTTCTGGTGATTAATATTTAGTGATGAAGGTGAAATAGATGAAATAAAAATTATTATTTTTTTAATTTATGGGCATACGCAGGAAATTGTAAGACAGTTCTGTATTCTCTCGGGCCTTAATCGATGCACGAACGATTAAAATATTAACAGATGGCTTAAGTCTTCAGTAGCCAGAAGCCGTTGACTGATTGGAGATGAGCTGAAAAAAAGCTCACAAGCTAAGCTAGCATTAACGGCTTCCAGATCTCCCTTTCTTTTAAATAAGTTAGTTTCCGGTTATTAATATTTAGTAATGGAGATGGAAAATGATTGGAAAAACAATAAGCTTGTTAAGATTTAAATCTATAGCTCAAAATCCAAGCGAGCACTCTATTTATATTTTATTTTATTCAGAATATCAACAATAATACTGTCGATTATATTATAAAACTTAATATAACAATTTAAACTAAACTTAGAAGATAAGAAAGCCTAACACAAAGCTGTAGAATGACGTCTATTAATGCCTCCGACACGTTGGGGGAATTTTATTTGCCAGTTGGCCAGCTATGCCCCGATTAACAGCCATATGTGGTCAGAGACATTAAAGACCCAAAAAACTATACAAAAAGTAGATAAAGGTGAAAAATTATGAAAAATTTAACAACTACATACTTAGAAAAAGTACGAAGTAGAACGAGACATAAGTTTTTTCTGATTAATGTTTAGTGATGAAGATAAAAAATGATTGAAAAAACCATAATTTTGGTAAGATTAAAAATCACAATGGACGAATGGAATCATCTTTTGTGATGTACTTTCAAAGAACAGGCAAAACGCGAAGAGTAATTAGTCCGCTTGTTTGTCCACCTATCTGTTGAAGGCCTTTTCCTTTTGATTCTCTATCCTTCACATAAGGGGTAAAAAAAGTATACAACGAATTCCGAAATACGTGTTGCAGGCACAAGAAGGTGTCGCAGATCCTAAGCCCATTTATGTCCCACTGTTCGACTGTATGATCAACGAGAACTTTTGAAACACATCAGTTAGACGCACCATACTTGGTATACAGACTTGTATTATACACGCGCAGATAACATTAATTACAAACCTTATGAGCCACAATTTCTTATAAATATACCAGAGGAACGACAGGTGCGAACATCGCTGTAAGTTCCAACAACTGATCTGGTAATTACAATATCGTAACTAAAAGGGGTACTTATTAGTACATATATACTGAAGTTCCATCAAAATTGGCTGACTATATGCTACAGTACCTTAGGAACTATTGCCCAATTTGTTGAAACGCAAAATGAAATAACTTTTTTGGTTTTTTAAGCTACTCCAATCAAAATGTTTTGTGAAATTGGAAAACATAAATTTTGTATACCTATCTTTAAATAAAACTGTACAGTAAATGAAATTTCTGATGATATATCATAGGAAAATATTAACTGTAACTACATACTTGTATACTACGAGTATATATTCAATATTTGATTACAAACTTGAAGCAATTTACAGAAATTACAGAAATAATAGAAGAAACATTGACTTATCACTTTTTACACCCAATGCGGGCACGTGTAATTGTTTTTCAGCTTAAATTCTTAGATTTATACCTATCTATACAGAAAATTTGATAACAGATGTGGTAAGGTTACACGTCAAAATTGTCAGACTACTTATAACAAAGCAAAGATTACAGCTTAACTATGAACTGAAATCATCTCGGAGATACAGGAGACTTCCAGACTGAAATCAAAATAAATAACTTATGGGAATCAGACCAAGTCTTATAAGCTAACTTAGTGTAACAAAGGATTCTTAGGCATATTTTAAATCAAATTCTTATAACTTATCTATATTTTAAAAAGATGTATTGAGTGGCCGGCGTCATGTGTATATCATCTGTAAAAGTGAATTCGAATAGATGTTACATTTCTAAAAATATACCCTAAAAGAGAGGAAATACTTACAAAAATGTCATTAGGAAGAATATGGTTTATCCAACAGTCCCATATCCGCCTTGTATAGTATGCGATTAAAGTGAAATTGAATGGCATTTCTGGTGCGAGTAGAGTACTTTTTCATTTTACACTCCAAATACTGTATATAGAGCGCCATATCATCGTTTTCCTTACTCTCGTTTGGGACTTGGGGTTGGGGGCATGACGTGGACAATGCGGAATTATTAATGCTGGGCTCCGGCTTGATATCCGAGTCTATTGGCTCCCATTTTAATATCTTATTGTAATTTTTGTTGTCGTTGGGACTCAGTTCTGTAGAGCTTCTTTTTCGGGCATTAGTATTATAAGTCGGATACGCTACATCGTGCGGTTCCAGCGGTTTCATCTTCATGGCTTCAAACTCGGCACGAAACTCTTTAAACGCAGACTGAAACATTTTACTATTTGGTTGGGAATCCACAAATTCACAATCGCTCTCGTTTAGATCATCGGACAGCGACATGATACTGTTGTCCGAATACAAATGGCTGGTGTCAGGGCTTGCAATCTGTAAAAAGAATGCGAAGGTAAATGGTATGCAATATGTTCTTGTATGATCAAATAATATATATCAACAATTCTTTCACTACAAAAATAATTCCAATTTTTTAAATGTTTTCATTTCTCAATGAAGAATATGATTCTTAAAGAATCCTGAAGATTCCTACTATCGGTTCGCTTATACTTTTGTTTTTTTTTATCAACGAACTATATTGATGTATAATTTTCCATATAGTTTTTGGATATGTATTATAAAAAGCATTTAATGTATGTAATATGTTCTTGTGAGATCAAATAATACATATCAACAAATCTTTCACTACAAAAATAATTCCAATTTTTAATATGTTTTCATTTCTCAATGAAGAATATGATTCTTAAAGAATCCTGAAGATTCCTACTATCGGTTCGCTTAAACTTTTGTTTGTTTTTTATCAACGAACTATATTGATGTATAATTTTCTAAATAGTTTTTGTATGAACAGTATTGTTTCTCTTTCTTTTCACCAAAGAGTTATGAGTATGTCTAATTGTGAAAGTTATCTTTTAGTTAAGTAATATACATATACTCGTATATTTTAAGAATAAAATATTGGACTGCATTGTTTCGTTTGCATTTCACGAACTACTCCTATATTCAAGAATATTTCTACTGACAATTTTAAACTTTCTTTGGTAAAAGCTTTAACTTAAGGCTGTTTATGAATGTTATTGGGTTGAATGGCATCACTTAGGTCTTCCAGTTCCATTATATTGAAATGTGTCGATGATAAAAAAAAAACAACAACCGGACTTAAAAGGATCCGAAATTGCTGTTTTAAGCATAGGGAGAAGAAGAGGAAGACGCAGTTCCTATATTTTGTGATTTAAATGAAATATAACATTTGTAATCGTTTTCTAGTTTCATGCACATCCATGAAATGATTTCAAAATTAATAAAATTGTAGCATTTTTATAGCTATAAAGGTTTGGATGTCCGAATCGTTCTGATAGGGTTGTTAACTAACTACATAATAATACTCATATTATTAGCTTTAAAGTTTTCTAAACTTCTTCAAAAGTAGGAGCACAAACAAGTTTTCCTAAAATATACAGTTTTGATTTAAAAAGCTCTTCGATACTGAGAATTAAATCAATATTTTGTAGGGACACTTGAAGCACTTGATGGAAATTAATACAGGGTGCGCCATCTTTTATGTCGGTATGTAAATATTGAGTAACTTTGTCATTAGTGAACCGATTGACTTGAGTGTTGAAAACCTCAGTTCAAGAAATTGTACAGAACCAAATTAAAGAAAAATATCTCATACTTGAAATATCTCAATGTTTACATACCGACATAAAAGATGGCGCACCCTGTATAAACACCCAAGAAGTGATCACTAACTGATCGTATTATTTTTGTGATCAGTCGATCACTGATCGTTCTATTAGACAACGAGATGATCAGTACTTAGTCATGGCACAGCTAAAAGGTCAGAGATATGTTTATGTATATACATAGGTCTATATAAAATAACAAATTCGCAGCTACAAATACTCACGGTCACTGCTCTCTGAATATCTCAATAGAGACTGAGTAACGTAAATCACAGCTTCGCTCGTCGCTCGCCTAGAAAACATTGCCTCTCATGTGTGTAAAAGGTATTCGTGGCAGTTGACTTACTCAATTCTATTTGCCACCTCTACTCTCTCTCTCTCTCAGCTCGATTATAATTTATCAAAGCTCTCTCTCCCTCCCTCTCTCTCTCTCACTCAAATACATACATACACAAGAATAGTAAAACTGTTTTACAACTTACCTGCATTGTTGTAGTATCGTTAGTTTTTAGCAGGAAAGTCATATGTGATGCCCACCAGCGAGGATTCGCGACGCCCTTGCGATGCTGACATCTAAAGACAGCCATAAGCGAGTTCATCTTTCTCTTTATCTCCTGGAAATTAATGCCCATATCATGGGCAATCGCTGCCCACGCAAGGTTCCTCTCATAGCGGTTCTGGTGGCCGCGGTGTTCCGTATCCCAAAGCACCCTATTCAGTTCGTAGAGCTGAATGAGCTTCACAGTGTTGTCGCCATCCCAGACTACAGAACTATTCTTCTTGTTTCTACCATCCATTGTTTCTGGTGGCCTAGTCTGCCTTTATAGTTTTTCAATTCAATAAAGTCACTCGTGACGACTGAATCGAACCACCAACCAACCATTCAACTCAAGCGGAGAACACAAACTGAAACTGAGAGTTTGAATGTTTTGGTGCTGTTATTAACATACTCGTACACACCCGCTCACTCACACACATTCAGGTTGTTATACATACGAGAAGGAGAGAGGGAGATACACACAGTGGGCCTCTTAACAAGATTTCGTAAACGAATTGCTGTTCACGCGGAGTAAAAAGTAGATCAACTTTAAAGCGGCATTTATTTTAAGAATATTCATTTTCTTTTGAAGCTTGTTTCTTTAGTCCTTATATTAAAAGCGAGCTTAGGAGAGCAGTTACGTTCTGCTAAAAATATAGGAGATGTAGTAATAACTGCTTATTAAAATTTCTCTGTATTAATTATTCATTTAAACATTAAATTAAATTCTGAGCAGTTAATTTGTGATTAAAATATATAAAATAATTGTAACTGCTTCGAGCAGTTTTAAAATTTCTTTGTATAAATGAAAATTAATTAATTTTTGAAATATTTAATAATACATACATCTTCATTTTCCATTAGTAATAACTGTTTAAATCAGTTTTTAAAATTCCTCTGTATTAATTCATTTAAACATTAAATTAAATTCTGAGCAGTTAATTTGTGATTAAAATATATAAAATAATTGTAACTGCTTCAAGCAGTTTTAAAATTTCTTAGTTGAAATGAAAATTAAAGCAGTTTAAAAATAAAAAATCATGCATATCTTAAAAATAATTAAGTTTGGAAATTAATTTTTCTTAATATTAATTTATTTTCGTTTCCTTATCCAGAGCTGTGATTGTAAAGAAACTTATTTTTCGGTTTAAATGATGTTAGTTGACTTTCGCCAACCAATACCACTGTGCGGCGTTATAGACAGTCGTGTACACATAAAGAAAGAGGCAGCTATCGCTGTTGCTTTTTAATACACAAACGTTGGGGGTTGAAATTGAATCGCTATGCTGTGTTGTTGTTACTCAGTAAGTGCGTGAGAGAGTTCTCTCGCGTATATGAGAAGAGTGTACACAGTGTTGTTCTCTGTTTATTTTCTCCGCTAACTTACAAACACGACATGAAATACATAACTGTGCTTGCGGGTCGAAAATTGCAGATGTTCGTTTGTACAAGTATGCTTATTTCTACGCACGCTCCATTGATGTTGTTGTCTTTGCTGTGAGAGAACCAGTATACTAATGTATGTAACCGTTGTCAGTTGCAACTATACACACATGTATGTACATATACGGATATCAAATATTTTATTGCTGGGAGAGAGAGACAAAGAGAGAGATAGGGATATAGTGAGAGTGTACGTGAAATCATTTACTCATAACAGACGTACAGCCAAACATTCGAGAGAGAACATACTTACAAGTTCTGTCGTACACTCACATCAGTGGTTTCTTAATGCCCTACACCACATGTGCTACGATTTATTTAGAATTTTTTTGAGCTATCATACGATACATGATTTCAAAATAGTCTACAATATATGTACATACAAGTGATGCAATATTGAACAGATTTTGTAAAAATATTAAATGGAAATACTTTTTAATGTATATATTATGTGAAAATCCATCATCCTATCCTAGTCATTAGTTCGTTGCATTTAAATTGGGAAAGAAGAATGAAACGTGTCTTGATTATTACTTGTATAACAATTAAATTATTTAAGGTTTCAGTTGCCGAAACTTTTCAATTTATTCATTGAGTGTTTTATGGACGGGGATTGGGAAATACAACGAAATATACCTCTTTTAAAATACTAAAAGGATGATCTGTACAGTCACCTTGGAAAGCTCAAATTCTTTTCAAATTAACGAACTTTGCGAAAACTAAACCATTTCCCAAAAAAAAAAAATTTTTAAACTTAATCTGGAGACGTTCTGGCGTTACAATTGAACCTCAGAAAATAAAAAAAAATTTTCGTTGAAAAAAGTGCCTGACTGGAGGGAAAGTTACGACCAACTTCTAAATAATACGAATACTGCTATATTCATGGGAACATTGGCAACGATTGCATTTCATTGAAAAACTCTATTCCGAAATAATTTAATAAAAATATGGATTTGAAAACTGAAAACCAGCCAACCGATTCAAAAAGTTCCATATAAGTATTCGAAAATTGCATCTGCTCTAGATACATTCTGGCATACAGTATTTCTTAGTCGAACACGTCCAACCATTTCGGCTTAAATATTATGCGCATATAGAAAAGAACAAAGTGAAGTGTGAATATTGAGATCAAAATTGTGTCTACACACAGATAGTAACTATGTATATACATACGTATTTACTGATTCAGACACAGACGTACGTTTATAGCATTGGATAAGAGCGAGAGAGCACGAGTTTTTGTCAAAAGTTTTGATGAGCACAACGGCTCTTGCTCAGTTTCGTAAGCTTGGTAGAGTAGTTCACCAAACTGATACCATCATCCTCCAACTTTTTTCGTACATTAAAGCAGCGCCTTCTCTCTATAACAAAAATGCCATTTGACTATTTCGATTTACAAAAAGAAATACATATGTACATATAGTAGACATGAATGCATGAATTGGAAAACCGTTCCAGCCACTATAATTACTTTAGAGAAAGGAATTCCGCAGATTATTATACCCTTCTTCGTTATATCCGCTCGTTCCACACATCCTGTTTAGAGGAACCTCTTAAACTAATATAAACAAGTAAAAAAGCTAAAGTCGGGTGTCCCGACTTTGAAATACTCTGTACATATGTTTACAATAATTATAGAAAATAAAAAAAATTAAGAAAATAAAAAAAAAATTTGATCGATTTTACCTCTCTCGGTATTCGAACTCACGTAAAGGGTGTATAATTGCACATTTACATAGCAATTGCGTCTGTGTGAGTGTATGTATGCCTATGCGCATCAATTCGTGTCTGTGTAAGCATTTTCGCAGTCAACCAAACAGCAACATCAACAACAGCCGCGGGCAGCGCTTGAGCAGCGCTGCAGCAGCGCTGCATCAGCAAATATATTTATGGCTATAACTTCTTGTTAAATCGGTCTATCATAATGAAATTTGGCATACGGACACATAATAACTAACTGGGGGTATTTCCAAAATTTTAGTTCGAAATTCCAAGAATTACGGGAGTTACGATTTGCGGGGTAGAGGGGGGAGGGAGGGGAATTCCAAAATATACATTTTCTGCGTATTCACATAAGGCATCTGGGACTAAAATTTGGTGTTCCTAGGTCTTATAGTCTCCGAGATATAGGCGATTATACAAATGGAAAATCGGGAAAACCCCCATAGGGGGGAAGTGGGGGGGAAAATCAAAAAAATAAAACAAACTCGTATAGAATACACACATAACGCATCTTCGTGCAAAATTTGGTGTCTCTATCTCTTATAGTCTCTGAGATCCAGGTGTTCATACGGACGGACAGACGGACAGACGGACAGACGGACAGACGGACAGACAGACAGACAGGGCTAGATCGACTCGTCTCGTCATGCTGATCAAGAATATATATACTTTGTGGGGTCTGCCACGCCTCCTTCTGCCTGTTACATTTTTCAGCTCCCGCAAACCTAATATACTCTTGTACATTTCATGTACAGAGTATAAAAACGTTATAAGACCCTTGTGTTTGTTATGCGTTTCAATTTTTATTTTCCTATTCTATTTAGTAAGCGGGGGCCGATCCCTGGTTGTTGCATGGAGCTGGTTTTAAAACGCTGTTGCAACTAAGAATATAACTATTGGAACAAGGTGGAGCCGGTATAGATAAACCACCATCAGCAGCTTGGCCGTAATTTGAGCTTCTAGGTGATCCCAACATCTGGCGAGGGGAATACGGTGAGAAGCCTTGCGGTGCTGAGTAACTTTGAGGAGCAGGAGCAGCGTAGCTGGGAGCCGCAGGCGCTGAGTAAGCAGGTGCCTTAGGTGCTGGAGCTGAGTAACTAGGCGCGGCAGGCGCAGAGTAACTTGGAGCAGCTGGTGGAGCGGCTGGTGCTGAATAGCTGGGAGCCTTGGGTGCTGGAACTGAATAGCTTGGCGCCGATGGTGACGAATAGCTGGGAGCCTTGGGTGCTGGAGCTGAATAGCTAGGCGCGGCTGGAGCGGAGTAACTTGGAGCAGCTGGAGCTGAATAGCTAGGAGCCTTAGGCGCTGGAGCTGAATAGCTTGGTGCGGCTGGAGCTGAGTAGCTTGGTGCTGAATAGCTAGGAGCAGCTGGAGCGGAGTAAGCAGGAGCCTTGGATGCTGGAGCTGAATAGCTTGGCGCGGCAGGAGCGGAGTAACTTGGAGCAGCTGGAGCTAAATAGCTAGGAACCTTAGGCTCTGGAGCTGAATAGCTTGATGCGGCTGGGCCTGAATAACTTGGTGCGGCAGGTGCTGAATAGCTGGAAGCTGCTGGAGCTGAATAGCTTGGCGCGGCAGGTGACGAATAGCTGGGAGCTGCTGGTGCTGAATAGCTAGAAGCAGGAGGTGCTGGAGCTGAATAGCTAGGCGCGGCTGGAGCGGAGTAACTTGGAGCAGCTGGAGCTGAATAGCTAGGAGCCTTAGGCGCTGGAGCTGAATAGCTTGGTGCGGCTGGGCCTGAATAACTTGGTGCGGCAGGTGCTGAATAGCTGGAAGCTGCTGGAGCTGAATAGCTTGGCGCGGCAGGTGACGAATAGCTGGGAGCTGCTGGTGCTGAATAACTAGGAGCCTTTGGTGCTGAAGCTGAATAGCTTGGTGCGGCAGGTGCTGAATAGCTAGGAGCCTTAGGTGCTGGAGCTGAATAGCTTGGTACGGCTGGGCCTGAATAGCTTGGTGCGGCAGGTGCTGAATAGCTGGGAGCTGCTGGTGCTGAATAGCTAGAAGCAGGAGGTGCTGGTGCTGAATAACTAGGAGCCTTTGGTGCTGGAGCTGAATAGCTTGGTGCAGCTGGGGCTGAATAGCTTGGAGCGGCAGGTGACGAATAGCTGGGAGCTGCTGGTGCTGAATAGCTAGAAGCAGGAGGTGCTGGAGCTGAATAGCTTGGCGCGGCAGGAGCGGAGTAACTTGGAGCAGCTGGAGCTGAATAGCTAGGAGCCTTAGGTGCTGGAGCTGAATAGCTTGGTGCGGCTGGGCCTGAATAACTTGGTGCGGCAGGTGCTGAATAGCTGGGACCTGCTGGAGCTGAATAGCTTGGCGCGGCAGGTGACGAATAGCTGGGAGCTGCTGGAGATGAATAGCTTGGCGAGGCAGGTGCTGAATAGCTTGGCGCGGCTGGTGCTGAATAGCTAGGAGCAGCTGGAGCAGAGTAAGCAGGCGCCTTGGGTGCTGGAGCGGAGTAGCTTTGCGCCGCTGGTGCTGAGTAGCTTGATTTTGAATTATAATTTGGTGGAGTTCCGTACGCTTCTGGCGGAATGGAGAGCAAGGCACGGATGAGACGCTCACTGAAGTCGTTATAAGCCGCATTCACATCTTGAGTATCCTGAGCGCTCTCCGCCAACTGTTCCGATGCGACAAACGCAATAAAGCAACCGGTGGCCAAAAATGTTAATAATCGCGCTCCGTACATCTTTAGGCTTCGATCATTAAACTACAACTAGTCGGTGTATGAGAGTTGGCCAATTCTTATAATCACTCGAAGTACGAAAGTCAGCAAAAATAAAAATGTGCCACCGAATAGTTCTTGCGCAAATATGCGTTGATGGTTTCACTTCGATCCGTTCTCTACACTCTATAATGAATATACTTTTGAAGACAAGAAGAATTGATATATTTTGACAGCAGCTGGGGACAGGGCTCTTCTGTAAAATGCTCTTTTAATTATGGAATACCCACGATTTTATATGACTTTCTTAGTTTTGTGAAATATAACTGAAACAATTTAGGATTATTTTCCTTAAAATCAGTATCGCAGAGCATTTCATAGTCGGACGAACTAATTATACCCTGTACCCAAAAGGGTACAAGGGTATATTAGTTTTGTGCGAGTGCACATGGAACACACAGAAGGAGGCTTGGTAGACCCCACAAAGTATATATATTCTTGATCAGCATGACAAGCCGAGTCGATATAGCCATGTCCGTCTGTCCGTCTGTCCGTCTGTCTGTCCGTCTGTCTGTCCGTCTGTCTGTCCGTCTGTCTGTCTGTATGAACGCAAGGATCTCCGAAAGTATAAGAGCTAGAATAACCAAACTTGGTATACAGATTCTCCTGAGACCGAGAAAGGACGAGTTTGTTCATTTTTTCTGATCCACCCCCCCACTCCCCCCCTATTAACGATTTTCTATAACTCCCGTAATTCTTGGAATTTTGAAGTCACATTAGGTTAGTTATTATATAACCGTATACCAAGTCTCATTATGATAGAATGATCGGAAAGAAAGTTATAGCCATATAACCAGGCCCAATGCACACATACATACATATGTACAAGTACACAAACACGCATAAGGCACGATTCTGATGTAAATGTAAATGTATGTATGCATGCATGGAATATTTTATATTTAATTTAGTTAATTAATTAAATTAATTTAGTTAATTAATTAAATTTAATTAATTAATTTAATTACTTTTTTGTGGGGTGATACAGGGTATTTAAGAGTTGAGCCTGCTCGACTTTAGCATTCCTTTCTTGTTTTAGTTATTATTTATTTTTGCCCAAATCAATTCTTTCGATCGGATTTTGTTTTATTGGACGAGTTGCTGGTGTTGAAATCTGCTAAGGTAGGAAATGATTAATACAGCGTATGTCAGCAATGCAGTTCTACACAGAAAAAAAACAAGTAGTTCTAATATTATTTGCATCGGATAAGTCTCACAAAAGAGAAAGCAGAAGGTACTGCGACCATATGTGACCCAATGGTGCCTTTCAAGTTAATCCAGGAAGGATTTCTGGTCGCTCTGGTCATCGATAGGCTCATGAGCTTAGTATAGTACTGATCTTGGTTATTTTTTAATTAAAGTACTTTTAAATTCAAATTAAAAGTAATAAAGCAATAATTTCGGTAAAGTGCTATCTGTTTTAGAAAATCAAAATATCATTAAATAAAACAAAAATTGCCCCAAAATGGGTTAAAAATGTTCTTAAATTGAATTTCTTTGTAGAATATTTAAGTGAATTATTGAATAAATTAAAATCATCATCAATTGCAAAGTTTATTAAGTTAGTAAATATTTTTGCAGTGCAACGATCTGCGAACGGCCAATAATACTGCTGATTATATGATTGAAGGTATGTCTATATCTTTATTAATATTATAGCTTTATGGGTTAATAATTTACATTAGTTTATTCTTATTAACATATTTCCTCGGGTCCCCCACACACATACTATATGTAAGCATATACAAATCGGTGTAAAGATTTCTGGGCAATGTTTTTTTTTATTGCTTATGAAAATATGGCATTTTTGACCCAGTCGCTGAAAACCGCATACAAAGCACCCGCTTGTTTATAATTTGTCAAGAAAGTGTTTTTACTGCCCTTTTTCCCCCAATTGGCGATGTATACCATAGTCAGAACTTTTTTATATTAATGTACAAACTTAAGAAGTGAAGCTTTTCCATCTTTTCATTAAAGAGAGGGCTGAAGCAATGTTTTGACAAAAGGGTCCCAAAATTTTCAACTTGGAAAGCGAGACAAGGTTTTAAATATTGAAGTCAGAGAATACTAAAAGGTTCAAATTGTGTCCATCATACGTCCATCTGTTCGACTGAATGAGCTTCGAGAACTGTTCAACCATAATAGCCAAAACAGCTAGAAACATACAACTTGGCGTGTAGACTTATTTTTTTATTTTTCAGCTATATAAACGGGACGATCAGTGGAAAAATCACTCTCTTAGTAGCAACAACTTTTCTTTTTAAATAATAACTAGTAACAACATTTTGTTTTTATAAGTTTTTATTAGTGTCGGTAGATACTTTGAAGTTTTATCGAAATCGCTGCTTTATAGGAACGATCGATTGAAAAATTACTCTTAATACCAAATAGTTTGTTGTTTAAAAAGATATTTTTACCCAAATTCTTGGTTATCAGTATTTAATGATGCCTCACTCCACTGTAATGTTTGATCGCCATAGGAAAGTTGACCTTATTTGAAAGATTATGGTGGACATAGTCACATGGATTTATAAATCCGAAATTGGAGGTATATTTTAGTGCAGTCCATCGAGAAATTTGTTTGATGTTTATATTCTAAACAACAAACAGCTGTAACTTTCCGGTAAATAATCGTTCTTGGCTTTCTAGAGATTGGCTCTTCTCAGCTATTCGGGTGCTGCCTTTCCTAAATATCTGGCGCTATTACTGAGAACAGTTAAAAAGGGTGTACAATAAAATATATTCAACAATTTGTAAAGGTTGTAAAAAAAATTGCATTTAATGCTGGGCTCACAAAATTTTGTACTCAAGAAGGTCGGCCGATCGGGCACAGAGACAATATATGTAAATACATATATCCTCTATGGGAAGATATATATATATATATATATATATATATATATATATATATATATATATATATATATAGAGAGAGAGAGAGAGAGCGGGAGAGAATGAATAAACTTGAATATAATATAAATTCCTAAACAAAACAATTAACAATTAAATTAGGCTGTGTCGGCAGTGGCTGCTGCGCGGTCTCTCAGCAAACGCTCCCGACTCTCCTGCGGATTGAGCAGCACTTTAACCAAATGCTCCACCGTGGGACGCTCGGCGGTGCAGAACACTTTCAAGCCCTGCGATTCGAGTGCTCGCCTTGTGCTCGGTCCAATGGCCACCAGCTTCCAATTGTCCAGCGAAATGTTATGCGCCTTGAAGTACTCATTGGCACAATTAACGCCCGAGGGTGAGAAGAAGGCCAGGAACTCAATGTTCTCCGCCTTGAGGGCCCGTTCCATGCACTCTGCCAGCTGTGGACTGCACTTTGTCTCATAAACCTCGCAAGCATCCACACAGAAGCCGTTCTCCACCAGCTTGGAGAGCAGCGTGTCTGTCGCCAAATTGCCGCACGGCAGCAGCAGAGGCAAGTCCCGCGATCCATCGAATGTGTCCACAATGTATTCCGCCAAATTGCGCGCATTCCCCGTCTGCTTGCCGTGCGTGAAGAGCTGTTGCAGCGAACTCAGCGCCAGATTGTGCGTAACCTCGCCAACGGCATAGTTATGCAATAGTTTCCAACCACCGGGCAGCGGCTGCAGTTGCAGCGCCTCGCAAACAGCCTCCACACAGCGGGGACTGGTGAAGATGATGCCCGCATATTTGTCCGGCGTTTGGAGTTTGGCGCGCAGCTCGACGAGATTCTTGTAACCGAAACTGAGGGTCGGCACGAACAGCGGCCGAAAGTTGTGACCCAGCAGGGTCTCCGCATATAGATCAGTGCTTTCCGATTCCGATTTGAAAATAATCACCGTCCGCTGTTGACTGCTCATTCTGTTAATTTGCTTCTGCACCTTGCGGCCCGATGTCGACGATGCTCTCTGCCGTCTTCGTCTTATTCGCGATCGATCGTGGATCGATGTGGCTTCGATATACCTTCACCAGTCACTGCACTTTGTTGGCAGTGACCGAAAATTGTTGTTCATTACTTTTATAGCGCGCCGGGTCGTGCTAATTTTGTGCAGGCAGCGGTGCTTCAATTTCCCTTGCACTGTGCAGGCCGGTGCTGTTACAACAACAGCAACAACAACAGCCAAACGCACCAGCTGTCCGAAAAACAGCAGTTGCGTTGCAGGCTGGCAACGCCACGAAAGCGCGCCACGCTAAATGGGAATACAGCGGGACAGCTAACTGAATATTTAGTTTATTTTTAATGTTTAAACGTCGCATGCATACTTTGTTTGATATTGGGCCGGCTTGTGCTTATTTTGTGTCGTCTCTTGCAGTTACAACCACAACAGCTCGCCACCTGTCAGCTTTTGAGCGGTCGCCACGACAGCGCTGCCAGCAGCCAAACAGTTTAAGAAAGCGCGCGCTTTTCTGTCGCCATTTAAAAATTCAAAAGTACTGTAGTTTTAGATTGCAAGTCAATATACAAGTACATGTGTATGTATTCCGAATATGAAATTCGAATTGCGTTCATAAACTCGAATGAAAAGTTCATTTAACCAATCAATTTTATTATATTGTATTGAACACTCATTTTACATTGTCATTATACATTGTCTTATTTATAAACTTTTTGTATGAATTGCAAGAAAAATAAGGAAATTTATTTTAAAAATAACAATTGCTTAGTCTAAACATTGCCGTGCCACAAAAAAATAATCTTAAGCCTCCAGTTAGCAGAAAACGAAAGCAATAAAATAGTTAGAAACCAAAAGTAATAGATTCATTAAATAAATTGTATAGAAATCTTATATATTGTTTCTTTAGCTAATTAGTGTACAAATTGATGCGGTAAGCCTCCAGTTAATCGAAGTCCATACTATATGTATGTATATATATTTTGTTATATGTGTAACCAGCTAGAATACATATTACTTAAGGTACATATTTTGTCTTTTCAAATAACAACTATAGCTACGGCAGTATAAATAATTCGTTTGTTTAAATGCATGCAACCAGAGTTTCAAGATTTGTTTATTGTTTTAAATGTTAATAGTTTTGTATATACTGGAAGTTTCAAAAATAAATATATGTATTTATATATTACATGTATGTCATCATATCGAGGCAGTGAATCAATTTCTTCAATCTAGTCACATCCAGTAATCATATCAAGTTTAAATTGGTCAAGTCCGTTCCACAGGCTTAGATCGTAACTATTACAACTAAAGGAAATTTGCAGTGGTTTTCTATATTTGAAGCAGGCCTATTTGTAATAGAATTCAACAATAAAATAATTTATACATAATTTGTCTCTAGAATTGTTGCTAAATTGTTGCATTCCTTTCATTTTTTAGCCTGTCAAATCATAAAAAAGGGGTTCTATTTCAAAATTAAAAGGCTAACAAGCACGTTGATAATCCTTTGAAATACAAACATTTGCCAATCACTTAATTTTTTGACTGCTGCGTTAGCCAATTACGCAACAGATCGCCGGGTTTAATACCCGATTCTGTCGGCATTGAATGACGCTGTGTGGACCAACCATAGACGCCCCCACTGCTGGCCACCGGCTTGAAACCCAAATTCTGCGGCGCTGGTGTATCCATTCGCGGTGTCGCCTGACTCTCGAAGCCCGAGGATTGCGATGAGGTGCGCGAAAGTTTATCCTTACCCGCCGCCGCTTTGGGGTTGTCGCCCTCTCCATTGAACATCGGCCCTGTTGTGGCCAACCAGGCGCTGATTTCCTTATGAATCCGCTGTTGCTGTTGCTGCTCCTGTCTTTTCGTTTCCTGCCCCAGACTGCTAAAATGTGATTGCATTAATACAGGCGGTCTGTGCATGCGCGATCTGAGGCGCTGGTCCAGCACCCGCATGCGACGTTGTCGTCGCTGCTCCGCATCTTCAACCTCATTGCAATTCCAGCGGAAAGAATTTTCACCGCGAAAGGGTCTCTCAACCATCGTCGAGCGCACCGAAGGACAGTCTGGCGGATTGTTTGCCGTCATCGGATCTCTCAGATCAAGGCTGGATCGACTATAAATTGGCGAGCGCAATGTCTTGAGTGGCGATTCCGACAAATGCAACGCGTCTAGGGACAGCACCGACGCATGTTCTGACATTCCCACCCCATCAAAGCAGCTTGCTGGATACGCCGATGTGGGACTGCTTTTCAAACCGCGCTGCTTTTGCTGCTGTACTGAGGAGTTCAAGTTCGTCGCGTTGCTGCAGTTGAGCTGCTCACTCAGTATGCTGATCGACTCCTCGTCGCTAAAGCAATCTTCTGCATAAAGCTTCTGAAAGCTGACAGATTCGTTCAACGCCCAACTAGAGCTGCGATTGCTGGCCAACAGAATGAGCGTAAGAACGCTGCCCAGCAGCTGTAAAATACAAAATAAGATAAAACCGATTGTTATTAAAATAGCGCTTTGCCCGAATAAAACTAACTGCCTAACTCTTTAGGTAAAAATCCCAAACATATTCAACATTTCCAGACCCAAGTGATCCCACCCGAATGCTCAATGTCTTATAATCAAAAACTAATTATGTATGCATTTTAAAGGGAGACAAATTTTGTTATGGTATTGTTTCTTCTAAGATTGGTGGTTCCAATAGGATGTATACTACATCCTACTTCAAAACAAAGCGAGGCCTTACAAATGCTCATAAAAATCAAATTTGGTTAAGATACCTCAATAAATAATAAAGGTATTTTAGTCAAAATGCTTTGTCCACTGGTAGTTTCTATAAATTTCACCGATTCTGACGAAAATATAATGCAGCAATTTAAAATCGTTAAACATCAAATTCGGCAATGATGTCATTTTAAAAAACTGGCATTAGGAGTGATTTTTGCATCTTATTTTTCTATGACAGCTGCAATATAAGTACTCCGATTACAATACAACTTTTGGATATTATGAGGATTACAAAAAACTAATTTAAAACTAATATGGTTAAAATATACTAAAAAACATTAAACTAATAGCAATCTTGTCATAGTGTTTTCCTATGGCTGCCAAATAAAATAATGGGCTAGATATGGTTTCTAATAAACTTGGTTTGTATATTAACTAGACAAGACTTTATTTCAAGTTTGAGGTCTCTAAGTGTTTAAGTTTAAAAGCTTTCGAAGTTCATACAGACAGATGGACTGAGGGGCCAACACAATTTCCACCAAATTGCCTTGCAACCTTCGAAATATGAAATTCATTTGCCATTGGAAGAACTTGTTTTCATTGTTGTCAAAAAAAGGGAATATTTAGAACAAAATGAAGTGATTTACTTTGTAAAGTACGTGGTTTTCGTATTTAGGGAAAACCTAACTATAATAGGAGTTGCCTGGTTAATAAGTTCAATTTAGATCATTTCTATCAAATCATTTAAATAAGATGATAAATCGTACCCTTATAAAAAATCTTCGTCAAATATTTCCCCAATATAGATGAATGACTTCATTGATTTTGTATCGCTATATATTGTTTTGAAATTAAAAACTAACACTAAATATTGGTCAAATACAATATATATAATAAAACGAATATGAAAATAGTTGAGAAATGCCTAAAGATGCTATCAGGCTCTCTTCCTTAGAGGGAGAACATTTTTAGTCTTTGGATATTTTTCAAATTCTACAGCCTTGTTTCATATTCTAAAAACTGACACTTAATGATAAAAAAGGTATTAATAATAATGTTGATTATTTTGAAATGGAGTCTAATGTAGAAATAATCCAGAAAATACTCTATATCTGAAGAAAGTTAATAGTTCTGATACTTACGATGAAAGTTACGCTATTCATGGCTGTCAGTAGGAATTGCGATCCATTCGCATAGATACTCCACAGAACTAGCAGCAATGTGAAGCGGGAAAACCTCAGACGATCGGTAATATTGTGCAGGAAACTGAGCGCCAGCATCACATATGGATAAATGTTGACAAAGCACGAGCTAAACGTGGCATTCTGCACCTGGGGCTGTGTCAGGCCCAAGGAGTAGAGCAGCATTTTGGCAAAGGTGCGAGAGTAGGCTAGAAGTTTGTTCGTAGCGTCGTAATCCAGAGCAGTGCCCGCATAGGAAAGTAATACTCGCACGAACGCCAAAAAATGGGAGTAGCCAATGAAAATCGGATTCGCCAATGTTCCGCCAAGGATCGAGGCAAACTGTTCCCGGGTGGTATGTGGAAGTCCGCACAGCAGACAAAAAATGTTAACCACAGTGAGGAGGGTCATCGATTGCCGGAAGAGACGTAGTTTTCGTTGTTGTTGGGCCTTCGCCAGGCGGTTGAAGTGGGGCTGCTTTAGCAGCTCGGCGCCTTTAATTATAAAATTGAGAAACTTGGACCCCAGCACCATTTTCTTTTTCTCACGCAGCACGCGTTTGACGTGGCTCTCACAGCTGCCGCATAGTCGAAATTGTTTCTCTAGTTCATTTCTAAAAATTAATGAAAAGACCTATTAGAAATATGACGATAACTATGGATATACAGAGTAAATATCGAAAGGAAATTTAATGTGGATATTACCAAGCAATATTCTTGTACAAAGTTTGTTGTCTATAGCGCCTATGGTGGTGGAGTATAGAAAGTTCATACAGTCGAACAATTTGTAATATGAAAGATATAAAATAAACTTGATGTGTTTATAACTAAGAGTAATACTTGAGCACATTTACGCGCTTGTAGCATCTATAGCTGTCTCGAAAAATACGTTCATATAGTCAAACAGATAGTTGTAAGCTCTGAAATTTCAGTGCCGATATAAGAGGGGAACATTTGTTGTCTCTACTTTTAGTACCTATGGTGCCCAAGCAAAAGACGTTCAAACAGTCGAACACTTGCAGGAATCCAAATATTATGTATGTAATACTACCTCCTTTGCTTTACCTAGTGATACAAAATTACGATTACGCTCGATATTTGCTGTGCCTTCTCCACATTAGCCTGCCTATAAAAGGGATAGTATTTTGGTGTCTCTGGCGTCTATAGTTGTCGAGAACAAGGCGGCTATACAGTCAAGCAGTCGCAGATTTCTAATTAGGAAGTCCATAACGACTCTTTTGATATACCTACTGATTAGTACGAGGTACAAGATTGTGGCAATGGCTTACATGTAATGTTTGATTTCCCACTCAAAACGCGACTCGTGCTTGGGCTCGAACTGCGCCAGCTTTTCGACCTTTAGACGCTGCGCTTCGTTGCATTGGTCGCACAGTCCGTTTGATTGGACCGACGGGGCCGAAACCTCCGGGTAAAGGGCATTGGCGCATACGCCGATACCGCTGCTGTGGCTGGGCGATGAGTTCTTGTCCGATTTTCCACTGCGATTGCATTGTAGTGCGCTCATATCCCGATTGTAGTCCCCATCCTTGGTAAATCCATTGTATTGCTCACATCTGCGACATGTCCAGCTGTTTCGCTCGGGATAGGGAACGCGCGAGTTTGTATTGCAGAACCAACAATTTACGCTCGCACTGTAGCGGGAGCTAAGGGGAGAAAAGAGATACGCTATATAGCTCAGCATTGTTGACATCAGCGTCCAGATTTCGTAACACCTACCGCACAGTTATATATAATTTATGGGTGAGCATCGCGGCTACGAAAATTAATGCCAAAATTGGCAACACATTGGAGACTAGTTTCAGCCCAGAGACGCTGCCGAGCATAGTTGATAATTAAACAATAGCGCCAGATCCTTTTAATCCTGTAATAATATCCAGTAAATATTTTTCCCAAATACCGCGCACTATTGCTAATTTTAAATGCAAACGAAAGCTAAAGAAAAAATAAACGCGTCACGACATACGCGGACAAAACAGCACCACGATGCCGGCTACAATTACGGTTTCGCGCTCACACACACACTTGCAAACACATATGTGCATAAACAACATGTGTGAGAGCAAATTCCGCTTCGTTCAAAATACCGACATTGCCCGCCATTTCCATTTCAAAATAGCAACGCGCTGATGCAAGCAACGTGAAATGATGGAATTGAATCAATTGCTATTTTATTATTTTTCATATGTGGTCCGATATTTGTTACGCCCAGAGCGGTATATGCATACATTTAGTGTAAGTTGAAAAGACCTAAAAAATAGGGTAAAAATGCTTCCAGTAGCAACCGCCCTGGTAAGCGTTTTCGAGTGAGTGAGGAGGCGGTCGCTATACCGGCTGCTGTGATGGCTTAACTTTTCCCAATCAAAATGAGTTTAGAGGCATTGCTTCAGAGCCACCACGATTTTTGGTAATGTGGGTAGATATCAGGAAGGGTATAAAAATGCGCAATGTTTCAATTCTAGAACACCAAGATTGTGCGTTACTATTTTGACGCACGTTGTTTCGTTCCCGTGGCCAGAGTTGGCCGCAGCTGGTCACCCTAATTGCTGCTGCCGCTGCTGTGTTGGTGTTGTTGCTGCTTTTGAATATCCACACATTGCACGTGTTGATGAAGTATTTGGTTTGGTTTGGATTGAGTTGAATGCTGAATAGATCGGTGATTTGCTATTGAACAGTTATAGGAGAGAGTATAAATAAATCGACAGAATGCAGACGGACGATGTAAGTAGGAGCGATGGGTGCTTCAATTGTTAATTACAGTATTTGATTCGCACATACAGGTCGTTTGGAGCATCATCAACAGATCCTTTTGCTCGCACAAAGTCAAGTAAGTCTACCCATCAATGGAAATCATATATACATATGTATGTACACATAGTAGTACGATATATTCTATGCGTTTTGCAGAACCGACACCCGCACCTTTTGCCGCCATGAATACAATTTGACGGGTCTGTGCACGCGACGCACCTGCCCGCTGGCCAATTCGCAGTATGCGACGGTGCGGGAGGAGAAGGGCGTCATTTATCTGTTCATGAAGACGGCGGAACGGGCGCATACGCCGAATAAATTGTGGGAGCGGGTGAAATTGTCGCGCAACTTCGAAAAGGCAATCCAACAGATCAATGAGAATCTGGTGTTCTGGCCAAAGTTCATTGTGGCGAAAAACAAGCAGCGCTTCCTCAAGATCACACAATATTTAATGCGGATGCGAAAGCTGAAGCTGCGACGCCAGAAGCTGATAGTGCCACTCTCTAGAAAGATTGAGCGGCGGGAGGCGCGACGCGAGCAGAAGGCGCTGATTGCGGCCAAAATCGATAACCATATTGAGAAGGCGCTGTTGGCGCGTCTGCAGGATGGCACCAACAAGGATATCTATAATATTTCACAGCATGCCTTCAATAAGGCCCTCGAAGCGGAACGCATCGATGGCGAGGAGGAGGACGAAGAGGAGGAGGAGGAGGAGCTGGAGCAGGAACGGGAGAATGAATCCGAACGTAGCAGGCAAATGCTCGGGGACGAGGACGATGAGAATGAGGCCAATGAGCTGCATAACGCGCTCCTAGCCGACGAATTTGTCGAGGCAGATACCGACGACGAGGACGACTATGATAGTGATTCGGGTCTGCGCGAGGATGTGGAAATGGACAGCGATTTCGGCCATTCCGATGATGATGATGACGATGATGGCGGCGATTCAGATGTGGACGATATTGAGGTATTATATATATGGCCGGCGACAAGAAATCGACAACAATTTGACATTTTTCGCGATAATAACTATTTATGCATCGCTAACGTCTGTCTGTCTCTTTCTAATGGCACATCGGCGCTTCTTATTTAATTGCGAATACCAACAACAAATAGTAGTAATAATAATAAGCTGCAATTGCCGTGCCAGCACGTCATTTAATTATACGCCCATGCGGGCGACACGCCCCCTACGCCGGCTATATGTTTGTTTTTGCAATTCATTGCACATTCATGCGATTTATATCAGACATGTATTATTTCGAATTACCATAATTAGCAATCAGAAACGGAACTAGTTAATATATCCAGCTGGCTAGATCACTAAATGACGAAGCTAAAAACGGACAGATTTTGCGGACTAAAAATTCACTATTTAGGTAGGGTTTCCCCAGAATATGAAATCCTTAGAATTTTCAAAACATTATTACGTTATTGACCCAGCAAACCACAAATTTTCGAACAAATCTTTGATTCAAAGCCATCCCCAGAAGTTTCTTTCTTTAAGAAAAGCCAACTTTTATGTTCAAAATGTTCTTAATAAGTCAAAACTCGCTTCTATAACTCGTTGTTAGATTGTACTTTACAGAATTTGTGAACTGAAAAGTTCATTTTATGTCGAGACTGTCCGAAATGTGGAAATATTGGAGTTCTTAAGGCATGTACAAATTTTTAGACAACTGATCAAATCTTCGGTTGCAAAACAGCCCAAAAATAACTCAAAATTTCCATTTTATGTCCCCGCATTCTATGTTTAAATGATTCTTTGTCCGTCTGTTTGAACCACAAGTTTTTCTTGAATAATAACAGCTCGAGACATCAAACTTGGCACACAGCCTTGAGCAACCTACATGCAGAGCAAGGTAATTACAAATAAGCTATGGCTTTCATAGAAGAGATTGGTGATCAAAACAAAAACACTGTTGATTATGATGAGATCGTTAAAAATTTCGTATTTTTTTACAAAATTATAATCGGTTGCCTATACCTAAAGCTGTCATAAAAAACACTCTCAGTAGTTTATGTGAATAATAATTTCAAATCGTTAGTTCCATAGGTATGTTCTTTGCAAAAAAAAAAAAAAAAATCATTCAGTTTGTAAACTATAGGGTATAGGGAAGAGGAGGAAATCGAGTCGCGCTTCTTCTTCTAAATAATCGTAATCCATATAGGTCTCTTTAAGTTTATCCAATGATTTAAATGAATTTTCCTCAAACACAAAAATCATTCTGTTTGCGAACTGTAGGGTATAGGGAAGTGGAGGAAATCGCGTCGCGCTTCTTCTAAATAATCGTAATCCATATAGGTCTCTTTAAGTTTATCCAATGATTTAAATGATTTTTCTCAAACACAAAAATCATTCTGTTTGCGAACTGTAGGGTATAGGGAAGTGGAGGAAATCGCGTCGCGCTTTTTCTTCTAAATAATCGTAATCCATATGAGTCTCTTTAAGATAATTAGTGATTTAAGTGATTTTTCTCAAACATTTTGTGTTCAGCTAAGAATTTTCGCCGCCATTTAAGCTAATTTTTTGAATCATACTGACTGGTCGTGGGAATTAATGATATATCGTGAGCATAGTTGGGGTTCGCACTTGACAGATTAGCAAGCAAAGCACACACGCCTACCTACCTGTGTGCTGCTGTCTCTGACGGCGCCAACAACAGCAACATCAGTACAAACAGCAGCAACGACTTTATGGTTCTTGGCTCGAGTGGGGTCTGTTGCCATAACCATATCGGAGTCTGTCGAGTGAGCGAGCGTACGGGCGAGCGAGCAAGCGCGCGCGCATCTTGACCGAGTTCTGTGGGTCTTTTAGCTTTTAGCTATTGATATCAAGCTGATACTGCGGCGACTCGCAATTCTTCTCGCTGTTGTTGTTGTTGTTGTTATAATTGTTGTCTAATCGCGCCGCGCTGATTAGTGTTGCTACTCTTACTAACGTGTTTTGAAATGTCAAATTATCGTCATTGCTGGATGTAATACATATATGTATCTTACGAATCGAAATTAAAAACGAAAACTGTACAACAATTCACAGGACACGCCCGTGCCTTCGAGCTCTGGCGCGACAAGGAAATCGACTAAAGTACCGGCGAGAAGCAGCAAACCGAGACGGCAAGTGGAATATGAAGTTGAAGTTGCTGCAAAAGGGAAAATGCGCGATTACTGAGGTATTGATATTGATATTGGCACAATGGCTTCGATAATCAATCAATCAATCAGTCAGCAGCGGCGCAAATGAATCAAATATTGAACATATAACTGCATTATGTATAAAGTTATTCTTCTCTCCCCCCCAAACCCAAACCCAATCCAATCCAACCCAAATTTTTTTTATTCATTTATTCATTTGCGTCGTCGCTGTCCACCACAGCTGAATAATAAATAAATGTGCACGCAGCCGAGAGATCATGTCTATTTGTTAGCTAATTAAAGTTAATAATAGTAATAATAATTAAAATAATGTATGTACGAAAGTAAACAGAAAATTGTCCAACTTTTGGCGCTTCAAACAAATTCAAAACGCACCTCCATTCCAGTTCATTTCGTCGAAGCTTGAATGCTCTTCCATAACAATCCAAGGCCATGTTGAAGATTTATAAAAAGTGCTTAAAAAAAGTTGAAAACAAAATGCTCTTAAAAGCGTCGGAGGGTGGTTCCTTCTCTATATAAAAATCTATTAATCGGGTTTTTAAAATAACAAATTGTTGAGATATGATGCATATTGTTGTATAGGTTGAATATTTATCAAAATTTGCTGATATAGACGACCCCAATTAGGCTTTATTTTGTCGAATATTCTATATAATTAAGCAAAGCAGATCGTGTGTGTTGATTGGATTAAAGATTTTTGAAAAGTGCTCGTTAACATAACAGAACGATGCAAAAACTAGCTTGAAACATTTATAGGAAGTGCAAAATTTATGTGATAAGCAAATTATCCTAAAACGAACGCAAGGCGGTTCCTGGTAGTATCTGGCTGTTCCTTCCTATATAAGTAAAATGTTACTTGAAAATATGTTCTGATGTAGCAGAACGATACGAAGAATCGAATGGAAGAAAGTGTTCCTAAATGTGTAACATTGTGTTGGAAGTTATCTTTAAAATGTCTGATATTAAAAAAAACTATGCGAAGAATTGCTTCAAAGATTTATGAGAAGTGCTTTCAAAGTGAAGAATTTGAGAATTCTCTTGAAACCGTCGCGATGGTAGAAAATCTATTAAGATGGTTTTTGCAAATGAAAAGATGTAAGATTTATTAGAAGATTTTTAATGATGCACAATTAGGAAGCAATGGTTTCAAATATTTGGTATAGAAAACCGATGGAAGAAATCAAATAAATAGTTCCATTAAGTTGGATTTTAAAGTGAAAACTTGTTGTGAGCTAAGATAATTTCATGGACTTAAAATATGACTGCAAAACAGTGAAGTGGAGATGAAATTTAAATCCACGTCTAGTTCTTCACTACGTAGAATCGTTTGATAGAACGTGCAGAGAACACATTGAGAATTTGTTCAAAGACATTTTTGGATAGATTGTTCAACATAAATAAACGATCAAACGGAAACATAAGAGAGCTCTTTTTCATATGAGAGAACGAAGCAAAAAATCATCTCAAAATTAAAATGTCTTTTACAGTGAAAGTTATTATAAAACAATGTTCTCAAGATGGTATGTTAAAAGCTTTGCTAATAGAACTTCGTTGATACAAGAAATCAAGATTTCTTAAATTTTATTTAAACATTCTTTTCATGAAAGATTTGTAAATTTTTTTGTTTGTCTGTTTTCGAGTCTGAATCAAATCTGCATAAGTTGGCCAATATTTTCAGGACATTATTTAGGTATTGTGCATGTCCTGGCAATGCTTGGGCAGTAAGCAGTTTTGTTGCAAAATCGATCGAACCTGTTTTTCCTGATCATTCATTATTGCTTTACTATTCTATTCGCAATGGAATGAAATCTAAGTTATACAAATGGTTCGTGGAATTCCTTTTTATATAACAGAGTGTTAGAAAATGAACCTGAAACTGGAAATATGACCAGCTTCCACGCTCGTTCACCCTGAAACGAATCTCGGCATACATATACATACATATGTTTAGACATACAGACGTGCATGTTTCGCTCGATCGGGGGAAGCAGGGGGTTGTAACCAACAGTCAGCCTCCATTGAACTTCAACTTGGCATTGCCAATTGGTGGTTTGGCACACTGTTTATAAAAACAAGTTCTAAGCACTGTTACCTAATTGTTTAAATACTTTATATGTACAAACAAACATACGTACATACGTACGAGTACATAGTAGTAGTAGTATTTATGTATCTGCAATGTCGGGCACTCGGTCATAAGTTAGACAGCTTCAGAGATCTACGAGTGTACGAGTATGCACAATATAAAGCGTAGTATGAAAATATATTTTAGGGCAATTTTTGCCGCTCCATTTGATAGCCTAATTAAAAAGCGACGCTTACGTTTGTAACTTAATAAGAAAATCTGTTGTGCTTTGCAATCAAGGTCGTAATTCTCGTAACTCGCTAATCGCAACTGCTGACAGTAACAAAAACTGAAAACTGTGGTCAAAGTTTCTGTTGTCACAGTGCTAGCCGTAATTGCCATCGAGAGTTCGTCACAATTATGCGAAACAAAATATACATTTAGCCGGCAGAGCACTGCCGGCAAAAGTATAGTGGAAATCGCGTGGCTTAAATCCACAAAAGGTTTACTGTAGTATGAATGACTCGAACGAGTTGCTAGAGAAACTAAAAAATTATGTTTGAAAATAAAAGTTAAAATAAAAGTTTGACTGTACAAACGTCTATTATATTCGGCAATCAATGGAGTCATAAGCATCTTGTTTTTTCATAGAAGTTCTTCCACTTTTATTCTGTTTGACTGTATGAACGTCTGTTACTCGGTAATCAAAGGAGTTATAAGCATCTTGTTTTTTCATAGAAGTTCTTTCACTTTTATTCTATTTGACTGTATGAACGCCTGTTATTCGGTAATCAATGGATTTATAAGCATCTTGTTTTTTCACAGAAGTTCTTCCACTTGAATAGCAATGGCATAGGTTTTATTTATAAAGAAAATAATAGGGGAAAGGAAATACACATATGGTTCAATTAAAATTCTCCACATTTGTAGTTACAATTGATTAAAATAGGTATTACAAATGATTAACTTTTATAATCAAAAGTGTTATAGAATAGAAGGACTTGCAAACGAATTTGTTTACATTGTGGACTAAATTAGTATTATGTTTTTATTTTATTCGTTAAAAAGTGATGTTTAAACCATATTTCAGTTTCATTCGTATTTCAATATTCATATACATATGTATGTATGTATGTACATACATACATACCTTCCAACTTCACAAAGGTGGCCGCAAAGAAACTTTTACGTTAAATCGCAATGAAACATTGTTCATTTGAACTGCTGAATATAAAGATATCGAAAAGGAGCTTGAATTTGAAATCCCTACACAAAATTTTTCATTGCTGCAAAACATTTTTGTATTGAAATGATTGAGTAAAGATTTTAGGAACGTACTTAACCTCACAAAAATGCTTTAATTCAATATAAAAACAGCTACAATAAAAAATCGTTTACAAATCACTGAATAAAATTTTTAGCACGTACTTAACCTCACAAAGATGACCGCGTTACGAACTAAACTCCACTTGTTAACAATTTTCATACACATTTATAAAAAAAGCGAAATAAAGATGCCGGAAACGGAATTGTCAAAGAAAATTATCGTCGTATAGAGCACAATGTTCCGAACGCACTTAACCTCACAAAATGAAAATGGCCGCCACATCACTCAAGAAACGTTAGAAATTTCAAATATTTTCAGGTGTAAAACTAACGTTTTATTGGTTGATTTTTTTTCGTGTAAAAAAACCGAATTGTCTTTTGGGTGTGTGTGTGTGTGTGAGAGAGAGAGAGTGTGTATGTGTGTGTGTACTAAAAAAGAAATGCTCATTCGGGAATGTCCATGGTCAGGCCTGTTGAGCCTAATTGTTGTTGGGGGGCTGTTCATCGAAGGTCTGCAACTCCTGATTCAGCATCTGATATAACTTACTCTTGACCCAGTAGCGATCGTGGGACACATAGGAATGGGTAGACTCCTGCAACACCATACAACTGACATCCACCAGGGAGTCGACGTAGTCCAGCAGCTGACTCATCGAATATGAAAAGTTCGAAATCGGGGAATACGAGTTGTGGACGTGATCCTCAAACATGTTGCGGACCCCGTCCATGCATTCGGCAACAGTGTCGTAGGTGTGGAAAGTGCGACTCTTCGGATCCGGAGCCATTTGCACAAATAACATGACGTGCGACATCTCAACGAAGGCTGCGAACAATTCCAAAACTTCAACACTAGTATTTTGAAAAGCATTTGCATTTTCGTTACCCAAGCCCGGCAATGTAGAGGGCATTTTTGCGTTTATTTTTCAGGAAAATTGACTTCAAAAAAATGGATGCTTTCCTGCCGAATCTGGTACGTCTGTTCGTCAGCTTCCCTTGCAAATGAATGACCCACAAAATGCAGTTTGACAGAAAGGCTCCAAAAATTCGGTCTGTCAGGACTGTCAATGCAGCTCGAGTCTGGACAGTCGTGTTGGAAAACGAGGCACACGTGGCATTAGTTAGACACTTGTTTTTGGGGTTTTCAAGTTTTACGACTTTATGTACATTAGATTAGATTTACATTACAAAATAAAAGAAATCAACGTTCTCCCAAATTCTGCTGTTGTGTATAAATTAATGCTTCTTTTGTTGAAAAAAGGAGACAACGCGCTTTTTCGACAATCTAAGAAGCGGCCTTTTCTTAAGGATTAGTTTCGAGCCCAGCGCCTGTCTTAACAAACACAATTCGTTTCTTTTTCTTCTTTTTTTTTGTACACAACTTATTTACTAATTCTTTAATGACAAGAGAAAAAATATATTTATTTAAAATTAAAAAAAAAATAAACAGCTGCGCCGCACGAAGAAAATGCTCAGTGTTTGAAGTGTGTTGTAGTTGTTGCTGTTGCTGTTAATTATCTCCATGCCGTGCACGTTTATTTGGTTTTACGAAGTCCTTCAGCTGCCCATTTCGCTCAACTGTGATGTGAGTACAGGTGCTTATGCGTTGGGACTGAACGCCGCCTGGCGTAGCAGCACATAGATCTTCTCCTTGATCCAGTCCTTGTTGTAGGGAGCATAGGTGTTGGTCGACTTCTGGTACACCATGCAGCTGATGTCCATGAGGGTGTCGATGAAGTCAAACAATTGGCTAATATCATAGGTAATGGTCGGTGTGTTTGGATTGCGACGCTTCAGATGCTCCTCATAGATCTTACAGACGCCCTCCATGCACTCATTGACGCTCTCATAATCGCAATAGGTGCGAGTTTCGGGACGCAAGCCCGGCTGCACCAACAATATTGTGTGCGACATTTCCGCAGAGTCTGTAAAGAAAACAGATATATCCAAATTATTATATTTAATTCACAACTAATCGTTTCTTAACGAACATTACCCAATTGTGACATTTGCACAAAACTGCAAAAAAAAAAAAACAAAAACAAAACTAACGATTAGCTCGAGGCAACGAACTGTTCGCCGACAAAAATTGAAACGTAATGACGTCTAGAGCCTTTGACAGCAAACGCAACGCCTACTCTAGCTTTAGACTAAAAAGTAAAGAGTGTTCGAGTGTACGAACTTCAAGTACTTTTGAGTCATAACAGCTAAAAACCGCACTTGGCGCATATAATAAATCGAATATAGCCACATAATTTAGAATACTGAGCTGCCATAGAAGCGATCGGTGCAGAAATCGCTTTTAATATAATACATTCTATACATCCTTAGCCAAAATTTTGTATTTCTAAGTATTTCATATTCTGTTGTTTCCTTCAAATCGCCGCACAGCATATACATATGTAGCAGCCATAGGAACTACCGGAAGTAAAGCCACTCTTAGTAGAATTCTTGCTGTGCTTATGAAGAGATCTCAACCCAACTTTTTGTATGTTTATAAGTCTTGTAGAACATCTGACTATCCTACGCGCTTTCATTGAAACCGGCGCATTATACATATAATTAGCTGTTATAGGAAGGACAGATGAAAACGAATTGTTATAACGACATCGCAGCTGAATTAAGTATTTGTGAATTCTTTATAATGTCTGATTATATATTTCGGAGTTTTTGAAACCTGAGCGCAATATCTTATATCTGCCATGGAAACAATCGGTGCCTGGTACAAATTGTTTGTTTCTAAAGATTTCTTCACAGAATGTTGTAGGCATGCCTTTTCGGTATTATCTAAAGTTTCATAGAAACGACCGGTGTAAGAAAATTAATTTCTGTCGAAGCGTTTTGGCGGTGATAGCGTATGCGAGAGTCGTTCTCTTTAAAAACTCGAAGGTTCTACTCGTGTTTGCTTTTTCTGTTAACGATGCTGTTGTTGTGGAGGAGGGGGGCGGCTGCTCACCTTTTTGACACAACTATAATGAATCAATCCGAGACTGCACCTGCACTGGAAATTTGGTTTTGGTTGCCTCTTTCCACCCAACGTTGGACGTTCGCTGTAGGAGCTGCAATTAGTAATTAGGGCAAATTAGTTTTTTGAAGCACTAATAGAACAACAACAAATATTCGCAAGGTGCAACTAGTACGCACCCACACACACACATGCACACACCCACACACATGCATATAATCACAGCAAGCCACACGCACAGCACACAGCTATGCCATGTAGCTGCAAGCTGAGAGCTCCATCCGACACATAATTGCTGTTGTATGCATGGCCGCAACAAATTCAATTTTACATCCTAATTTCGTTAATAGCAAAACATTTACGCCGAAATGCATCGAATTTCGCATGCAGCTGTTTTTGCGGCTCTTGTTTTTGCCGCTTTTCATGCGTGTGTACACACACACACACACGCACAACCGCACATATATGCGTTGTATGTGTGCGTAAATACATAGAAATATGTAGATAAATGCTGCCGTTGGAAGTTTCTAGAAACGCATCGCTTGATATACACTTACCCTCTTGTAGTTGACAAGAATTTAGTACGAGGTGCAAGTTAATTGCAATGTTTTACGCAAAAAATAAGCAATAGCGCTACGCTTCGTTTGTTTCCTGCCTCTTTCTTACGATAGCCAGTTAGTGTTGTACACCGAGCCTGGTGCTGTGGGAAAAAGAGGCGCGGTGCTGCCAACTAGGCGTTTGTTGTGTGGTTAGTGCTGTGCGCAGTGCTGCCACTCACCAGATATTCGCTTGTTTTTCCAACCGGCTGGCAATGTTGTTTAAAAATGATCGACTGGACCAATTGCGACGACTCGACTCGGTTGGGGATAAGTAGGTGGCGGGCAGCGTCGGCAGTTGGTGAAGGCAGAGCGGCAACGGCAGCGGCGCCAGTAGTGTAGTGTAAAATCTTAATTCGGCTGGCTTTGTTATTCTGTGTTTTTTTTTGTTGGTGTTGTTGCTTTTTGTAACAAGTGAAATGTGCATGTGGCAGAAGCATATTAATTGAAAAAGCAAAAAGCACACAACAACAGTTAATTGTGGCGCTGCATGGTGTTTCTGTTTGTTTGTTTGTTTATTTGCTTTGCTTCATCTTTTATTATTGTTTCCCTTGTAACGCCCGCGCAATACGCGCACGTCGGTCGCGCACGCGTCAAACATTTACCGTTTTGTTTTGGTGTCCGGCTAAAAAGTTACAGCGAAGATACAAAGTGTTCTCGTCGCTTGCGTTTGTGTTCGTTGTTGTTCTCGTTGCGGCTGTGCGTGTAATTTCTTTCAATTTACACTTTTTTTTTTTTTTGTTACATACATATTTATGCCGTTTTGTGCTAGCGTATCGCTTGTGTTTCTCAATGTTCTCCGCGGCCAATGGCAAAATAAAGGTGCGCTTTCATCTATATATTTACATATTTCATTTTGTTGTTGGGCAAATAACTGTTCTTAACGTACAGGACGTTAAATGGGAACACACATACATACACAGATATGTACATTTGTTGTACGGCTATATGCAACTTTTCTTTTCGTGAAGATAACTTTGCCTTCCTCGACATTAAATTGCCTCTGTTTTAAGTATGCATCAGAATCGGTTCACTATATCACATAACTGCTATAGAAAAGATCAGTGCAAATATCACTCTTAGCACCAAAAATTGTAGTTAAATATTTATTTAATTATTACGATATCGTAGCTAAATTTAGTTTTTCATCATAATAATTTGATGTTTTAACAAAATTGGCTTACTATATTATATGTGTACATACCTGCCATACCAACAATCGTTGCAACAAACTTAGTGTAGGAAGGGTTTGGGCTTAGTGCTAATAAAAACTGTGTCTCGTGTGACTTAAACGTCCTATTCGTTTTGCTTGCAGTTGCCGCCACAGGAAACGGCCGCCTCGTCCGCCCTCCGGTGTCTGTTGCATGGTGGACCCTTTCGGGATTTACATTTCTCCGTTTCCGATAATCGGCTAATACCCGTCCATGATGTTGTCTTCCTGGACGACGACATCGATCGCAATGTCAAGCCGCTCATTTATCGTCCTGTTCACGCGGAGAGTGCCGACTGGGCAGCGAAGTCGACGTTACCAGCTGTTGTGGTTGCCGCCAGGTGAGTTCTTACTGTTGTTGTTTTTATTCTTATTGACATCATTGGCCTTGAACTTGTTTACTTAAGTCGATCTCCTCTCAGAGAGGATCCTCTCTCTTTTGCTCTCACACACGTTCGCCTCTCAATGCGCTCCAAATTTTTCTTCCATTGCAATGCAATAGGAAGCTTTACCTGGGAGAGAAAGGGAGAGTGAGAGAGAGGGTGCAGGCAATTAGTCGTTTTCAGCCGTGTCCAGTGCTGTCAGTTTGTAGGTTTTTCTCGCCAACTCATTAGTTTGCTTGAAAACAAGCTTGAAAACATGGATTTACAAATAATTAGATTAGGAAAAAATAAAGCGAACCAAAAAAGAAACAATCCAAAAACGCTCAAGTTGGAAAACTTAAACAATCTTAACAATATACATACATATATACTCATCAGTATATCATCATCTTTTATAACAACTGAAAAGAAATTGTACAAAAAAATATCATAATTGAAATATTACTACAAAAGATGTTTAAAAGACCGATAAAATAAGAAAAACTTCGTAACAAATTTATGCTGAAACAGTAATTAAATAACAAAAAATCGCCTTAAAATATCTGTTAAGATGCTGATATGTACTTAAATTAATCATTTTTTCGATAACCTGAAAACCAAACTTATGTTTAAATTTTCTTCGATTTTTTTGAATACACATAACATATTTTTGTTATTAAGTATCGCTGAAATATAACTTATTTTAAATCAAAAAATGTCATTAGCGATCGCTAAAATTGAAAAGACACTACCACGAAAGCTGGGAAAACCGCTGAAGTTTAACAAACTATAGAAAAATTTGACTAGAACTTAAATCATTAACCAGCGCTGTAATTAAGAAAAAACTGTACCTAAAAGAAGTTGAAATAAAATCGAAAAATCGTACCATAACTTAACACAATTCTATTTATTTTCATTATTGGGGTCCTTTATAATTGCAAAATCAGAGGTCGCTAAAATCTATGAAATCGTATCCCAAAAAGATTTTAAAGCAGCTGAAGAGCCTCTAAAATTCAACAAAATATATTTTCATCAATAGGGATCTGATCTCAGAGTTTGTAAAAAAGCTAAATTCGTTGACATAAACACCGACGGAGCTGCCGTAATAATAACTAATTTATTTTTAATTTGTATTTGCCGCTTTGGGACACAGCTGGGGGCGTTTTTACTTCTCGCTGTAGTTGTTGTTGCCGACGCGTTGTTCCCTCACCTAATTATAAGCGTTTCACATGGAGGAGCCAATCCATATCTCATGTTACTCACCATTCATAGTTTAAGCTTATCATTCATTTTTTTGCCCTCGGATTTTCTTGTCGTCGTTGTCTTGGCTAGTTTGTTTGTTTGCTTAGCTGCGAGTGTGTTTTGCTTATGTTTGTTTGTTTGTTTTTATTTCTTATTTCTCTCTTCTAGCATGATTTTATTTACATAATTACTTGCGTTGCTCCATTATTGCGTTTAGCTTCCATTCCCCCTTCCACACGCCCACCTTTTGCCCCAAAGCCCTGCAAGCGTCATCATTGTTTTAACATTTTTCTATGCTTCTTCTGCTCATTTTTTTCTTTCTTCCGCATTCGGTTTTTATTTGCTAGCGTCATTGGATTTGAAGGCTGTCTTTTTTTGACACCTTTTTTGGATGTTTGCTGTTGCTTGTTGTTGTTGTTGTTATTGCTATTGTTATTATTTTTCTTATTGTGATTATATGTATATGTACATATATATTTGTATACACATGTAGGTATACATTTATAGAATGTATTCATAAATTGTCATTTTATAGCTTCACTTATTTAGCTCGATCGCTATTGTGTGTTGCGCACAGTAGCCGGCAAAAGTATATGCCCTTGACATTGAAAAAAAAACTGCCAAACCGGCTCGGCAGTTAAAATAATACATCGACCGCATCAGCAACAATAACAACAACAACAACAACAACAAGACAAGGCCCGATAATTGGCATTAATTTAATTGTCAAACAAAATTGTTGCCCGCCCGGATCGGATCGGCAGTTATCGCCCTCTCTGAACTCCCTTGAATTGCCGCTTCCCATTTCCCATAGCCGATGACGTTAGACATCAATAATTCAACATCATTTTGATTGAGAAAAGAATGCTCTCATTGTCAATGTTCAGCCACTCAGCCACTGAAGACGATTATCGTCGTGGTATCAACTTTCCAGCTCAGAATCTGCAACTACTCATAGAATGACGTTTACATTTACCGATGATATTCGTTATACACTTTGTAGACGTCGAAGACGGCTCTCAGTAAAGATGATATGTTCTTTTCAAGTCAGAATCTACAGTCAATGACATACAAGTAGAATGACGGTTGGATATTTTTGAACAAAGCATTTCTTTTTAACGCTTTAGATATCGAAAGAAAGCTCCTAATTCTCATGCTCATGGTATCATATTTTCAACTCAGATTCCACAGGCAGTGATGTTTATATATCATCAGACACAATGCGTTGAATAGAGCTTAGTTAAAGGAAAAGTATGTTATAATAAGTGTGATATATTTTGTTTATTTGTTTGTCCCACTTGCACTAACAATTTAATTTTGCAGCTACCAATCGCGATGTGTTGTGGTGTTGGGGCAGCCCGAAAAGGGGGAATGGAAATCAGTAAATCTAACATAATTCCTTAAACATTTAACTATACAGAAATTTAAAACGAAGTGGAGCAGTGTATTCTCTAAGGCGTGCCGCCACGCAAGGCCAGTACCAGATGAAGCACCGAGCCTCTTTGCACCTTGTAGTCGGCAACTGTCCGGTCGTCGTTTAGCTGCCTGCCGGAGAAGATCAGACGTTGCTGTTGGGGCGGTATGCCCTCCTTCTCCTCAATGCGCTCCTTTATGCGATCGACGGTATCGGTTGGCTTGATGTCGATCTCGATTTCCTTGCCGGTCAGAGTCTTCACTTTGATCAACATCTTGCACATTTATCGGTATTCACAGTTTCTAAACGTTGAGGACTTCAGAATAAAAAGTTAGTAAACATTTTATTTATTTGATTTTTTCTTAAATATATTTTCCTTACATGTTTATAGTTCGAGTTTTAAATGTAGACTGAAAATATTATTACACAGGCGCGCTGAAGTAAGAGTTTTGTTTGATTTTGGTTTCATAGGCTGCTTTGGGAATTGAAAATAAAACTGAAAAGCGTTTTTTTGCAGATAAGAAGTACAAGAAGCAGCGACATAGTAAACAGACTTAGCACGTGGGATTACTATAACATATAGCTTTCATAGGAACTATCAGATTAAAACTTTGGTTTTGTATGAGTAACTTTTTTGTTTATCAAGGTATCGGATAGGTAATAGGTATTAAAAAGTTGTTGGGTATATCTTAAACTGTTGCAAAATTACAGTCAGATCGGGTTACTATATTATATAGCTGCCATAGGAACGATCAGCTTGAAAAACAGGCTTTGTGTGAACAAGTTTTTGGCTCATCAAAATATTGAAATTAAAATGAACAATAAGGATTTTACAAATAAAACACATTACATTATATTTGAAATTAATCATATATGCTATCGTAGGAACGATCAAGCATAAAAAAGGTGAACAAAATATCTTAACGAAATAAATGGAAAATATGGTAATGGGGGAGTTCTTAATTACAATAAATAACGCTGTGAAGTTTGTATTATATCATAAAGCTGCTATAGGAACGATTAGCTTTCAAGAAATTCTTTTTAGAAGAAATTCCTTCTTTTTTTGTTTATGAAAAAACCGTAATGGGATGAGTGGTCTGTTGGATCTGTGTTTTTATGTTATTTAAAGGCTGAGAAGTGCATTTGTCCCGCGTTTTAAATCTCACGCACACTGTATTATCCGTTCCATTCAAATTTTTCCCTTTCTCCATTATTGAGCTGCCTCAGCAGACATAATGATAGTTGGACTGTGTAATTAAATACCCGTATGGGACTTTGGCACAACACGTCAGCTGTTCTGTTCTGTTCGGGGCTCGGAGCTCGGAGTCAGAGGCACACAACCACAGATTACATTATACTCTTTGCGCCTAAGAGTATACGGTCGATTCCAATTATGCCAGGTATTATTAATTTACTTTGCCACTCCGATTTCAGTTGCATCGCTTGTAATTGCAACTTTGACGCTCTCGGCCCAATTATGGAAATTCGACTGTCCATAGTTTGTGCCTTGGCATGGAAGCCGCTCGATAAATATATGTACATATATACGAGTACATATGCACATATATACATTATGACATAGAAATGTAGTATCTGCGCCTACTGGCTAGCTAAAAAGTGATTTAATTTAATGTTCACCGGAAGCTCAACCAACTGACAATAACAGTTAAAAGTATTAACTATTTGTTTTGGTGTCGCTTTTGCTTTTGCTTTTGATTTGGATTTTGTTTTTGTTAACCTGTATGTCTCATTTCGCCTATGATTCAGATTATGGCTAATAAGCCGGCAAAAAACAAAAGCAACAACCAAATAATGAAGACGACTCACGCAAGGTTCATAAATAGCTTGAAAATCAATATGTAAACACAAATAATTGCTTGCCGCTCATTTGCATGCATGTGTACGAGTACGGCTATATAAATATTTGCGGCAAATCGAGGCCTGTGTCGTCGGTATGGTATAATACTCGCAAGCTTTCCTAAGTCTATGCGATACTACACAATATACCTGATATTATCTAACAACACTTTACTCCTCGAGTTAATAAACAGATCGATTTTATCGCAGACCAACATTCAAAATACATCGATGCTGATATACCTAATACTTCAGACTTACTTCTAAATACATGCTTAATACATAACTTATAACTTATACATAATACTAATCCATAATCCTATACCATAAACATAGGAAATAATACAAAGCATACAACACTTTTAAAGCGTACATCGTATTTTTATTTAACTCCATACAAATTCATGTACAAATATGACCCGAAATTTAGGTATCTCTTTCAAAATTATATTTATTCATTCAAATTTTTTTTTATCGCCCTCCGAATGCAATGCACATAATCCAATGTTTTTTCCCATCCTCGAAGCAGTCCGATAACTCCGTTTCTAGAAATACATTCAGTACCTTCTTCGATCCGGCTTAAATTTCCTCAGGCGGGTGGGAATTATGTTCCCAGAGTGGTCTTTTCAATTTATTAAATATTAAATTTAAATATTGAATATTATTTTCTTTCCGGAGATTGCTGAAAATTATTAAAGAAAAGTATAAAATGTTAAATTTTTCATTTGTACAAAATGCTGAAAAGAGAGGGTTTAAAAGAGAGATTTCGATTGAGAGCAGGTGGAAATTTTCATTACAACTTCATCCTAAAAACTGAAAAGGATTCAGTTGTACACTAATCGGGGAAAAGAGGAAGATAATTTCTTGTAGTTCTGCAAGGAACTGAAAAATTAATACGATCTAAAGGGCAAGGGAATTAATCAATTTGTGGAGGAACACAACTCCAAGGACAGTCTTCCGAGATTTGACTTAAGACGGACTGGACTGATTCATTCCTCCAGAAATGCCAAATGCGTCAGCAAGTGTTCCTGGTTGTCAATCGATTTTTGGTGCACCAATTCCTTGATTTGTTTAACGTGTTGTTGATCGGATGATGATCAGTTCTTGATCGTCTTCCAAGTCTGCAACGCTATCTCGCTTTCTCCAACGCTCCATCAATGACTATTAGACGAGTCGATCGATGGGAGTTCGCCGTGACGGCCAATGAAGTTTTATGATTTCAATTTCTTCTGTAACAAAAAAAGTCCATATATTTGCACTTCATTCTAATTATTATTTACCAAAAAAACAAAACATAACTTGTATATCGAGAGCCTTTTGCATTCTGAACGTTTCGGCTGTAAAATTTTGTTATTTCTAATCTTTTTATACCCTTTACCCAAAGGGTAAAAGGTATATATTCTTGATCAGGATGACAAGCCCAGTCGATATAGCCATGTCCGTCTGTCTGTCCGTCTGTCTGTCCGTCTGTCTGTCCGTCTGTCTGTCCGTCTGTCTGTATGAACGCAAGGATCTCGGAAAGTATAAGAGTTACAATAACCAAACTTGGTATCCAGATTCTGCTACGCCCGAGAAAGAGCAAGTTTGTTCATTTTGGTAGTCATTATATTATTTATCCGTATCCCAAGTTTTATTTTGATAGGTTGATTAGAAATAGAGTTATAGCCATATAACCAGGCGCAAGCTCTGTGCGCCGCTGTATTTGTTGCTGCTTTGACATAAGTATGTATTATTAATAATGTATTTTAATAATTTTATTCTATTTTATTTTTTTTGTAGGGTGGTACAGGGTATTTAAGAGTTGAGCCTGCTCGACTTAAGCATTCCTTGCTTGTTTATAATTTAAAATAATTAGATTTAATTTAAATATTAAGGATCGCAACACCCGCTCGATTTCCGTGTCATTTTTGCACACAATAGTAAGTCAGATCATAAGCTTGGTAAGCTCTAGAAATATTTGATCGCATAGAAGCACCAACCAACCAAGTTGCTAAGCCCATTCTTATGGCCACCATCGCAAAATTGTTGGAGGCTTTCTGGCTCGTGCCAATGTCAGCCGAAAACGAAAATCAAAAAAATCGCTGACCCATTTGAAATTTGAAAGAATGAATGAATAGAAAAAAAAAAAAACAAAACAAAACAAACCAAATCGCTAGTGTCTTTGGACACTTTTTGCGGGCTTTGTCGATTGGCCAGCCAAGCTAATTGAATTAGCAGCTCCAACATCACCTGGCTGCCTTTTCAGGGCAGCACGGAAGCCGTACGACAGGTATCGGCTGTTCGCCACTTGGCGAATAGTCAGTTCAATTGCAATTTCGAGTGCGTTCGGTGCAAGTCTCGTGAGTTGCGTGTGAATCGGTCGGTCGTGGTATCGTAATCTCTTACGATTTGTTACTCATTCAATTTTTTTCTTGTGCCTGCCTGTCTGCCTTGCGATCTATTGATTGCGATTCAGTGAATTGAATCTTTGAATTGACAAAACTAATTATCTAAATAATAATAACAATAACAATGCCTGAGCGAAGCTTCAGTCAACGCGATGCGGATGAGATTGAGATCGAAAGTGATGAGGAGGAAGAGGAGTTGGAGCAGGGCGTGGGGGTGCGGGTGCAGCCATCGCGACGACGTGGCGTCTCCCCGGCTCGTGGGCGCGGCTTTGAGGATACTAGACGGGGAGGCGGTGGAGATAGACGTGATGGGCGTGCCAGCACCAGCAATGGGGAGCGTGAACCCAGCCGCGAAAGAAGTCGCGAACGTTTTGGCGGCGGCGGTGATTGTGACGAAGAGGAGTTCTACGATGAAGATGGTGATACCGGTGATGGGGATGATATTGAAATGGTCGAATAGTGAGTAACAGTTTCTGAAACTTTTACTTCGTTCTCATCTCATTCAAATATCCGTTCTCAAGCTGAGCTGCAAACATCAGTTAGATTTGCTGAACACTCCTTACAATTGCAATTCTTCTAAACACTGCTTTACATAAGTTTATATTTCTTCTTGCGTAAAAATCTCTGTGTTTATCAAAATATTGAAAATATTGAATTGAAAACATAGTTTTTAAAAATGTCACATTTATTTAGTGGAATAAAAATATTAGAATAGTAGAATAGTACTGCTTCTTAAATCGTCTATTTTTTCCCATCAGTATTTATATTTGGAAATAAACGGTTGGCTGCAATAGAAATTAGATTTTGGGGAGAGCATTGTTATTCTTCTCTGTTAAAAATATTATTTTTGCCTGCGCTCGACTGCTCTAACAAGCTTTAACTTTCTTTCTTCTCCTCTTTTTCTCAGCTTATTACTTATTCTGTACTGCTCTCTTACAAGGATAACAGAAGAATCATCCGTCCTCTCTCATTCTATCTCTCTATATAAACCTTTCTTACTATATCTCTCTCTATATACTCCTTCTCTATTACTATACTCTTCTTCCCTCTGTGTCTCTCACATTCTCCATATCTCACTTTAATTCTTTTTATATCTTTCTCTCTCTCCCCCACCATCTCCCCCACTCTTTCTATCACTACATATTTATCACTCT